TTTGCATGAGATTTTGTGGCTAAATTGCTATGCAACATATTTCAAACAGTGGCGTTTGTGTACGCTTCTCACAGATTTGTTTTGAGCACGGGGTGAGCCCTTTTCATGTGAAGTTGGCCTAAAAGAAAGCTCGAAACTTTTGGTGTTAGTTGTTGCTATGAGAGTAAATCTCTGGCAATTCTCAAAGGACCTGAGCCCCGATCTATTTTAGGCCGTTCTCAACTGCTGAGGGTGATCCCGAGGGGTGGATAACCAACTGCTTTCACACAGTCAGGAGCCTATATGCTTAACCCAAAACACTAAAGGCCCCTCTGCCCTGATGTTAAGTTTTAACATGGTACTGGAACAAAAACAGTTGTCTAATGGGGAAGCATCATAGTTTCTCCCAGTAACAGAACTTGACTCATCTCTCATCTCTTAATAGAAGCACATTACATGCATCAATGCAAAGCAAAGAAGTTATCTGAACTCATCTGGACTCAGAGGTCAAGCCTGCGCTCTGTCAGATTGCATCACTTTCCCATCATCCGGTCACCCTTGTGTCCACACTTCCTGTCTCACAGCTGGCCTGCCAAGTCTCCCATGACCCTTTGCTGCTATGCTGCTGTTTTGTTTTGAGAGAATCTAGGACAGCTGGGATGAGATGCAGTCTCATGGGTTTTAGTAGCCGTGGTTCAGTGTTTAAAAAGGGGCACAAGCGCGCATTCATCTGTTCCACCGTCGCTCCCGCACTGTCCGTTTGTGAAGCCAACCGGCCCCCGTGACCAAAATGTGAGTTTTGGTGCAAGTCGGAGGAAGCGCAGCAATGCCAGAGGGGCTGAGTGAGCAGTGAGCATACAGAGCACATTCCAGAAGGCAGCAGAGGCTGTGATTTTAGCAGGCTGTCACAGGGATTAGGTTACTCTGTCTGCCTCTGTGAGCTCATGCTGTTGCTGTCTCAGTGCCTCAGCAATCCTGTTGAGCAGTGGCACTACACTATTTGCTCCCACTGCGCGGAGAAACAAGGATCCATAATTGTTCCGATTGGCTTGTTTAGATTATACAGTATTCAGTTGTTTTGACTTCGTTTTTACAAAGAACATCTGATGTCAGTCTGTAAGTCAGAGGGGTTCACTGGAATCCACACTAATAATATCCAAGTCCCTTGCTTCTTATGCATATTTCTAGTGTTGTATACTTGTATCGTGCATTATCAGATAAGCCACTGGGTGTGCTCTTTGACTAGATCTCCACTTGTGGTTTTTTTTCTTACTGAGATACAAGGGGTTGTGGCAGCAGCTGTAGACTGCAGGATGTGGTGATCTCCTGTCACTGTTGTTTCATAGTAGCTTGCAAAGTTGCATACTGCATCTCTATTACGCCACTGCAGTTGTTGTGGTTTAGTGGTTTACAGTTCTATTACGCCTTTTTTAAATTGTATAAATAATACAGAAATACACTATGGTTTTAAATATTAAAGATAAACCAAATTTGGGTTGGTGGTCTGTCGCTGATGGTTAAACACTTCTGACCAGTGTTAGCACTCTTGAGAACATGAGTGTATCACTGATAGTAACACTGGTTGACCTGTCACTGGCCCACAGCTGCGGCTATGGGAGTAGATAAGATGGGCCTACTCTATCAGCTCGGTATGTAGCAGTTAACTGTGCTGTATATTTGCATGACACAAATAGGCTTACCTCTAAATGTGTGAAACTGTTCTGTCATGCAGTGGTATTGTCACTGTGACCGCACACAGAGTTTTGTTACCTGTGAATTTAAGGGTTTTTGTTTCTGTTCTGCAGATAAAACCCCAAATAGGACCTAAATGATGATTATTTGATTCACAGAAAAATGATGATCACCAATCAATTGTTTGTTAATTTTTTTTTTTTTTTTTAAAAACACATTTTGGTTCCAGCTCCCCAAATGTGAGGATTTTCATATATAATTTGCAGTATTTCATTGCAAAAGAACTATTGTTTGGTTCTGTACTGTTGATCAGAACAAAAAGCTGAAGAGATGGCTGTTTTTCACAATTTTCTGACAAATTGTCGACTAAACAATAATCCATAGTTTCATTGCTAATGAATATGATAATTAGTTGCAGCCCTAATCAGATATACAGCTATTAAGCTGCGCAATTAATTGTTCCCCTACCATAGTAATAACTAGGGGGGCTACTGAATTGCATTATTATGGGAGCTGTAATGAAGTCAGCTGCTGTTAAAATAGTATTTGTATGCTGGTGAACCACTTGAAATCTCTTTTTGTGACGCACTTACAGAAAGTGCTTCCTTAAATTGCTGTAATGTTTTGTTAATTTACAAACAAATGATCAAGATAGGGACGTTCTTTTGGTGCTTTGCTGTTAGCACATCACTTTTGAGTATTGCAAGGGAGGAACAGTAGCCACAAAGAAGAATCCACAGTTAGCTGGGAAAACCCTGCAGTCACCACTAGCCACCAGATTTGACCACCTGTCTACCATCCCCTGTGGCCTGGTCGCCCTTGTTGACAACCACAAAGCTCGTGCATACACATTCTGTTTTTGCTTTATGCCTGGTACCCAAGTTATTTTCAGAGCTGGACACGCTTCTTCAAAACATGTATGCGACTAGTTACTCATTACAAAGGTCATGTGCTATTTGACGGGGAGCAGTGATTCATTACATCATTGCATCTGTGACAATCTTTTCCTAATTTCCAAATCTGTGTCCTTTGTACCTTTTTTTTTTTTTTTTTTTTTTTAACGTCCTGGATAATTTCCCTTCACGTACAATCGTAATAATCAGCGAACAGCTTTGTTTTTTACATTTTTTAAATGTTAAAAATGTCAAATACAAGACAACATTGCAGATGCTGTCACAAATCAAACTGACATTTGATTGTTGCATCTTTGGATGAGAGGCCTTTTTGACAAAAAAAAAACTTAGTTTAGTGTGTTTGCTTAAACGGTAAAGATGTGAAATTCTGGTGCAGTTTTTCAGTAACTTATTATTGATTTGATATGAGACAGAAAAAATAATGGAAGCACAAAAATCAGACATTGCTTAACCAAGCTCTAATTTAATGAGCACCGTGGAGTTGGTGGGCCGACCTGTTAATTCTGCCAGGCAGTGGGGTAAGCGGAGATCCACTGTGGATATGACACCATTTGAGCAGTTTGACCTGTCTGACCTTGTGTTTAGTGCTGTTGGAGAGGCGTGTGGCCTCGCCTCGGTCTGGAGCCGCGCGATTAGCTCAGAGCATCTGTCGCCCAACTTTTTGATCCTCCCTCACATCTGCACTATCGTAAGTCACTTAGTGCTCAGCCACTTTAGACGTGGGGGGTGATGGCAATTAAAAGAAGTGAGACTGGGGGTTCAGCATGCTTTCTGAAAATGGGAGATAGCTGGGAAGAGGGATAGCCCTACGTTGACGATTCTCTCATGCACCGGTACAGAGAGTATAAAGTGGGGAAAAAAATAAAAAAAGATAGTAAGGGATGTTGTAAATGGAGAAGGAGCACATATACACACTTGTCAGCCTCTCTGGCAGACAGATATCCAACCCAGCGCAGGGAGTGGAGAGATTGTTGCCTTTGTCTTTGTGAAAGAGGCAGCACTCGAGGAGAGTAAATCAGCTCTTTGTTTTTGTGTGCCGCTCCCTAACATGTCTCCCAGTGTTCATTAATTTAATTAGAGATGGAAAAGGAGCAGGCAATAACATGCGACGAGATAAAACCACTGTATACACCCTAATGTGTTTTGGTAAACAAAGTCATCAACACCCCACAGTGGGGAAACCAGACCACAGGTGTCCCCTGAAAGCCAGTTTGGGATCTTTTTATGTTACACATTTTAGCTTTATGCTCTTGTCATGGTCTTATCCACCCTTCATCTAATGAACAGTAAAATATGAGATGTGGAACCACCTCATCAACATCTTGACTTGAAGTTCTTCTCAGCTCTTAGCCTCTGCTTATTTACTGTTTATTTGACTCCTCTTGGCTAATCATGCTGAAAGTAAGCTCGGCTCCTTATGTTTGCCTAAGATCAGGTTCGGGGCCTATCTGAACGCCAGCTGCAGCTGAAACCTAGACACCACTGCTTCAAATAAAAAAAACAAGATCTCTCGATCAATGAGGTCAGCGTCTGGTCCCTGAAGTCAGTCAGGGGGGGAAAGGTGAAACTCCATCCACTCCCGTGACATCAGAGCAGCTAAACAGCCGCTCCAGTCGTGTCTCACTCCTTCAGTTCTGCAGTATTAAGCTAAGCGTAGCCTAGCTGCGCCGATGGCTACGTGGGTCATAAGACCAGCTGGTTGTGAATGTGCTCATTGTTGAACACAAACAAGTTTTGATTGTGGATCACAGTACTCTCAAATGATAATTTTAAAATGGCCGGGGAACTTGAAAGTTCTTGTGATAAGCAACATGGCAAACAATGGAGCCATGCTTGTAATGCGGGTCACATAATCACTGCATTTGCATAGACTGCACACTTAGGAGTATTTGTAAGCCTGTGCTAAATTTAAAGCAATAGCCGACATCATTAGTGGTCAGTGAGGGCTTCGCTCCCCGTTGTAGCCCTACTGCTGATGCACAGTGCCCCTCTTCTCTACTTCCCTATTACAGTTATCTTTGCCATCGTCCTGCCTCCCAGGTTCATGTTTGATGCCTGACACAATAGACAATCGTTGGACTGCTTCAGCGAGAGGAAATCATCCCCTCTGTAAATTTATGAAGAATGTGGATACTGAGAGATTGGCTCTATACTCTGGCAGCGCTCGGTGTTGAAGACTGAAAAGAATAGTCATTTATATCTGTTATTTCAAGAGTACAATTGGTGGGGGGAAATTATGTCTGAAGAGACTAAACTGTGGAAACGGTAGCTGGCAGTTCTTCAGGACGGTATAATTGAATAACACTGCCCATGTCTTCGCATGAATATACCATTAGTAAAGTATCACACGGACAGTTTTTGAGTATTATTCGATCGATTTGTAATTCTTTTGCATTTTCTCTGGTCCCTCCCCAGGTCAACAGAGACGTATCAGAGCCCTTGAAGTTCTCAGCTTTGATGCAGTACAGGTACAGCTTTCTATTTCCAAACACAGTTTCACTAAATTTACTTTTGGTGTGACTCATACAATACCCTATAAATGTGTCTGGAGAAAACTGCACAGTTGGAGAATAAAATGTGTATGAAGGCTGGGTAGATGTGGAAGATACGTCAGTTCAAAGAAAAAGGTCTGTGAAATCTGGGTTCTTTGGTAGCTATGATTGTATAACTAAATGCTTACTCACTTGTCATTATTTCAAAAGAACCAACCAACCACTTCCGCTTATCAATTTCCTGGAAGGAATCTTATGTTTTATTAGCTCAGGAACTGTGACATCACCCTGTCCACGTCAGTGTATGTAGTAGAAATTGAGGCTTAACTTGCTGCACATAAGTACACACTGGCCCACACTGTGTAGTAGACTTTTTACTGATCAATTAAAGTTTTCTGTATTGTACAATATTAACTCTAGCCATTCTGACGCCTATTCTCCTCCTCTCACTCCACCAGTGCACCTAGTGCAAGATGACGGAAGAGGTGATTGTCATCGCCAAGTTCGACTACATGGCCCAGCAGGACCAGGAGCTGGACATCAAGAAAAACGAGCGCCTCTGGCTCCTAGACGACTCCAAGTCCTGGTGGAGGGTTCGAAATGCCACCAACAAAACAGGCTTTGTGCCGTCCAACTATGTGGAGAGGAAAAACAGTGCCAGGAAAGCTTCTATTGTCAAGAATCTCAAAGACACACTTGGTAAAACATTCTGTTACCGTCTCTTCAGTTTACATGTGTTAATTTGATAAGTAATTTAGTAAATGAATAAGTATTTGCACTCTAAACATGTATATATCTTCAGTCACTCATAACGTCTTTCTGGCTGAGACTTCCTTTGTGTTTCACACACAATTGGTTCTTGTTCTTCAACCTAAATGAAGTAGCATCAGACAACATCTTTTATGTAGGCCAGCCCTTGTTTTTGACCACATTGTTGTGGTGTCTAATGTACTGTACAACACAGGAAGATAGTCTCAGACTGATGTCTGATTGGTTGAAATGCTGAGAGCTACTTTCTTCTTACAGTGCACTTAGACTGAAGCTTTAGTATCTGATAGGAGTGTCTAATGTACGGTGCCGTATTTCCATTTTACCTTGAAGCATTTGCAAAGGTAAGGCACATTTCTATATTTATTTTAGGTTGAATGCAGGTTAGGTACAGATGCAAACAAAGTTAGGATTTTAGTTTTCATAGCTTTGGACACAGAAAGAAATCCAGGTAGTCTGTTTTGGGTTAACAAATCGAATTATTTCCACTTTCTGATTGTGTGAGAGCAATCGCTACAGAGGGTATCGCGACCAGAATTGATACGGCACAGGCGTTGTCTGCTCTGTCAACACAACAGTAAGCAAGCCAAATGTAACTGTGTATGTAAGCCAAGGTTAGCATTTGTCTTAGTGTAATTCTACTTGATGACAGACGTTCATGATCATTTGGGATATACACTCTGAGCACTGGCATCCAGTCTGGAACACAGCCAGATAGCCTGGTATTGGTTTTGCCTATGATTTTATAATTTCTCTTAAGAGCATGATGGGATAACCGTGTTTGTTGGTATACTTTGGCTGTGTTTGTTTGGCCCAGAACTCATTAGATTTGGCTAGAGGTTGTACGCCAGCATTTCCTGTACACTAAAACAGACCTGCATGATATTGACATGCAGGTCTGTTTAAGTGTGCAGGAAATGCAAATGTACAAAGCCAAAGCCAGCACCTGCTGTTTATGGGCCCATTTAACAAAAAGCATAACATCAAACCACACTTGTGAGACTGACAAAACAGCCTTATCTAAACTTTGATGTGGTGATGACGTACTGCTGCGTAGGGTGACCTGTGCAAGGAAGCCCTGGGCCCAAAAGTGGCTTTTCCTTAGAATGTGGGGGGGGGTTCTGGCAACCAGAAGTGTGTCATCAGAAGTGTATCGCACAGTGCAGTGTTTGCAAAACACTTATCTGTTGACTCTGTCTTCCTGTTAGCTGCGCAGTGTTTTTTTGTTTTTGTTTTGTTTTTTTAAGTGTGTGTGTGTGTGTGTGTGTGTGTGTGAGTGAAATAACCATAAGCCTCCCAACAACTTCCCATCTGTCACTACATCCATTGATCAAATACCCTCAGGTGAACAGCTGCACCAATGACACACACACACTCAGGTCTCACACATAAACCCAATAAAAACACGGACTAACGAAATACAATCCCAGAAAACTTGTAAACACTTCACCTTCATTTGTCCCTTTTTTTTATGATCTATTAGTAGATTCTAGATGTTTTAATTAGCAGATTGTGGGCGGAGGTGTTCTCGTTTGCATGTGTGAAAGAAGAATAAGAAAAGCAGCCTGATGACCACACGCTCAATATGTTATGTGGGAGGAAAAAAATCTATCCTGGTTTCCTCTTTCTTTCTTTTTTGAAACAGGCCTGTTGCTGGGTGTGGAGTGGTGTCATCGTTTGAAAGAATGTGTGAGGGTATGATCCGTCTGCAGATGGCTGTGTTTTGGTGTGCGTTTGTTCCTATGTTTGAGGACTCATGTTTCCTGAGTTTGTTGTAAAGTTATGAGTGTCTCTACAAACAGCTGTAGTCATGTGACACTGAGCACTCACTGACTCACTCAGCCGTTACAGCGTCCCCACAGATCCCGGCTCAGTGTTTTTATTTTATTTTAAAGATTGCTTCCTTACAAATACCACTCTGCTGCCACACGTTGATGGAATAGCTCCTCCACTTTCCCTATATCAATCTTCTTTCATCTCTTTTTCTTTCTCTGTCTCGGAGACCCCCTTCCCTCCCCTCCTCCCTCCTCCCTCCTTCCTCCTCCCTCCTTCTTCCCCTTTCCATGAGGCCTCTGTGCTCTGCCTTCCAGAGCTGAACCGGAGGCCTCTCGGTCCCGCGCTCTCATTGGCTGAGCTTGACCACATGTTTCACGGAGTGGGCCGCCCTGCTCCGCTATCCGCCCAGCTCTCTGGGTGTTCACATGGAATAACTCTACAGCTGCAGTGGGAAGAGAGCAGGGGCCGGGAAAGAGACAGAGAGAGGGAGAGACAGCGAGCCCTAAAATGGACATGGCTAACCTATTCAAACATTTCTTTCGTGAGTTTTTAACTTTCATCGTCTTCCGTAGCTGCTCTTTTTTAAAACTTGTTCTGACTTGTTTGCTGTATTACAAGTGGTGTAGAGGGCTTTTGTCTGAAGTTTGAGTGGTTCTTTTTTTTCTTTCTCTTCTCTCTCTCTCTCTCTCTCTCTCTCACTTAGCAGGAGCGGCTGTCAGGGCTTTTTTTTTTTGTTTGTCTTCACTTTGTGATTTTTCACTTTGGTTTTGTGAGTCGGTTTCAGCTTCATCACAGCCAAACGAATGTGTCATAATTAGAGCAGGCAGGAAACTGATTTCTGTGCTAACATGTTGCGCTGGCAGGGCGAGGGAGAGAGGGTGTCTTAACAGCTTTTTGAGGCTGCGCCTGTGTGAGCGGCTGCAAAGACTGGGTGGATATGCTTTTGAAAAGCCTTCTGCTGAGCTGAAGCCTGTAATTGCCTGAGCAATCCTTCTCTGTCTCTTTCTTTTAAACACACACACACACACACACACACACACACACACACACACACACACATATGTGTGTGTGTGTGTGTTATATATATATATATATATATGTATATATATATATATATATGTATATATATATATATATACACACACACCACACACACACACACACACACACACACACACACACACACACACACACACACACACACACACACACACACACACACACTTTTTTCCTAGCATTTGTCCTAGTGAGTGGGCTGCAACTCAGTGGATTACATTATCATGCTTGGAGAACCCCCCCCCCACCCTGTTTAGGAATATCTTCAAGACATAGCCAAAGTCTGTTTTCTTTTATGCTACCCTCAGGGCGAGCTCATTCTGGGAGGGTCTCCCGCCCCCCTTCCACCTCTAACCCACCACCAGTCATGAGCTACAGTTGAAGGGACGCGGGGTGCTCATGTAGAACACTGTAGTCATTGTGCAGAGAGGAGGAAGGGGTCTCTGCTGATTGATGGGACCCGGGCTCCCATCTCCTGCACCTCGCTCGGTTATCAGAGGAATGTCATTACCTCGGCAGCTCCGTGGGCTGTGGATGCTTTACAGCCACACCAACACACTTCTTCAAAAGGCGCTGGCGCACACCCATGTTGTAATCTCACCTTGTAACTGTTGAGTGGTATCTCCTGCCTCTGCCTATCTCCCCTAAGTTTGTCTGTGTGTGTGTGTCCGCTGTCTGGCCTGGCTTGTAGTCTAAAGAATGCAGTGAGAGGAACACAGAGATGAGCTAACAAACCTTTTGCTTGTGTAAACTGAGAGCTGTTAGTCTCTTCTCTCTCTTTCCCCTCCCTCTGTTTTCCTGTTTCTCAGCCTCCCCAGCGAGCGGAAACTCTAATTTGAGCCACATTTTCTCTCTGAGCTTTGGAGAGGAGCACAGGCCAGAGAGGAAGTGAGAAGTTAGAAGGAAGTTGAATCATTGTGCGGGGGTCTGTCAGTTGGACTTTCTGGCAGTCTTCGTCCCTTGCGCCCTCTTTCCAACACCCGCTTCTTTTCTCCAAACCACCGTTTACTGCCCCCCCGACCAGAAAAATAAAAGACACGATCATAATTTGGACACTGGCGAGAGAGTTGTCAACGTCACTTATTCCTTGTAAGGCTGTCCACTCCTCTTTGTTTTCCTGTGTCTTCTGCCATGGAGGATTGCTAAGGAGGATGTGAGCATTGGTCTGGGCTTGATCAAGACTAGCCAGCGCTGTAAACATGTTAGCAGAGTGAAAGTAGAAGCGTTTACAGCACACCCTTCTCAATTGAACCTAATGTGCTGTAGGGCTCCAACTTATTATTACTTTAATTATCGATTGATGTCCACATTATTTTCTTAATTAATTGAATTGTTTGGTCTATAGTAGAGCTGCAACGATTAGTCAATTGACAGAAAATGAATCTGCAACTATTTTGTCAATTGAATATAAATTTGTTGTTTTGTTTAAAGCAATAATCCCAAACATTTGCTGGTTACAGCTTTTCAGATGTGAGGATAATGCATTTCTCTGTCGTACTTTATAGTAAACTCAGTCTTTTTGTTTTTGACCGTTGGATGGACAGAAGACATTTAAAGATGTCACCTTGGGCTGTTGGAAATTGTAACAGGCATTTCTCACAATTCTATGACATTTTAAAGACATAATTATTATGACATAAGAAAATAATTGGTAGATTAACTGATAATGAAAATGTTTGCAGCCCTGCTCTGTTCAATTTCAACAAATAGCAAAAAATCTGGTTAATAAAGTCTACTAGCATAAATTAACAAGAAAAGCCGAAACCAGTATTTATTTTTCTTTGCAATGTTTGCTTAAAAAATACTGAAGGAAAAAATCTGTTATCAAACTGTTGCAGATTCACTTTCAACCAACCATGTCACTTATGGTCTCATTTCCTGATTTGAATGGTTTGGGTTGTTGTCTGAAAGTAATATCCCTCTATTAAGAACTGAATTAGTTTGTGTTGGCTTTAGGAATATGTATCCTACATCCACTATTTTAGTGCTTGTAATGAGTAGAGGTGGTCATTGCTCATTGCTTTGTCACTGAATGAAATGTAGCACTGAGTGATGCTAAATGATGAGATGCTGAAAGGTGACATTATAGGTCTGGTCAGTTTCATAAGCATGTTTACTTATTTTTTGTTTGGTTACTTATTTTAAATCCTAGTTTTTCCATATTGAATATTGAGATATTACTACTGAAGGGAGAACCAGAGTAGAGGTTAAGAAAATGAGGTTAAGTGAAAAAACTTTGCTGTCCGTAAAGATATTTTTACAGATAAAAATGCTGCAACAGGAATTTGAGAGTGAGATAATCATTCCAATATTGCTGTAGTGATTAATAGGTACACAAATATCAATAGGCCGAGCTTGATTCACATCCAGTAGGAGCTCAGAATAAAGTAAATAATTGCTGGAATTAATACAGCCACCAGTTTGTTTTACTATCCGAATTCTACTTGGCGAAGCCCCTGACAGTAATGCTGTAAAAACCAAACGGAGCACCGGGCCTCCTTCACAGAGACTGATGGCTGCCTGCGTTTGATGTCTCCGGCGGCTGAAGTTGAAAGAGCTTTGCACGTTTCCTGTGCAGCCATCAGTCAGCCATGTTAGCAGCTTGATTGAAGCCTGTCGTCTTAAAAGACAGCCCCGCTGAAGAATACGCCAACTCACTCTCGCGTTCCCTGTAGTTTGTTTGACTCACTCTTTCTGACTGCACGTGGTGTCATTACATTTAATGTCAATGCCTCAAACTAGGCCATACGGCTTGCATGTGTTGCATCACATGTCTGGTGAATGCGACACATTGTTGTGTTACTGCCACAGAGTGCTCTCTGAGAGTCTACTCACTAATGAAGGCATGGCTGTTGCTAAATAGTAATTAGGCTACCTTGCTATAATTGCAATTTACGGTACAATAGGGACTCGCTGTAAAAATTAAAAATAAATTTTTTTGAGCCATTTCACTGTCGCTGAACTTGTCCCATAGCATCGGGGATGTACAGACACTGTCAGACAGCCTGACGCGGGGTGTTGTCGTCCACAGAGGAAGAGCCCTGGAATGGAGGGAAGCCGAGGGGTCGAAAGGGCCCTGGCAGACAATGGACAGCCAGCCAGCATAGGGAGGCCAGAGTTAAAAAACAAAACTAGTTCCTGTCTGTCACTGGCAGCCAAACGAACTCCGCCGACACTTTCTTCTCCTCCTACTGGTGCGCCTCATCTGTAAACAAAAAGTGAAGTTTTCGGAGGGGCTTAACATATTCGTGTTAATGCCTTTTTGTCATTGTTTGCGGTGATTAACGGCCATCTGACGCAACGTGATTTCCTTCCTCTGCATCCTTCTCTCAGGAAATTCACAGGAAAAAGCATCTGACGCTGAAACAAAAAGTTTCCAGCACACTGTGCTATTTAATTCTCTCCTGTCTTGAAGACCCCTGCCCCAGGTAGCAGTAGTGACATGGTTTGTTGGTTTCACAGGAAATGCTCAGCTACCACATCTGCAACCACACATGCAAAATTCATGCGGTTTGGAGTGTTTAGGGTTAATTTCAGGTGGAAAGATCAAGTATAGATACTGACATGTGGACTGTGCTTCTCTTTTAGCTTGGGAGGAGTCTTTTGTGTAGTTTTTCCCCTTCTACTGTCTACTATTACTGCATATGTTTATCATTGTGGGGTTAGTTATTTGTTTGTGTGCAGGATTCTTTTCGTATTTTTGGCAGCAAATTGGCAAACTACCTGTTTACCGTTGGATTCAGTACTACCTGTACTCATGTGGTTGTGTTGTGGTAAAGGTTGCGGGTCTGGACAGTACTGTGGACTGCTGGTAAGATGGACTGTGCCACAATTGAAGATTTCCAGCTTCTGACCTAATAACAACCAGTGACGTGTCTCTTCCAACAACTATGAGTCTTGTCTGAATGCTTGACCTCAGACTGCAAAGTCACTGTAACTGTGTAACTTTCATTCCATATGCTGTGTTTTTTAGATAAGAACATATCGGGTACATACTTTTTTAGATATATGGCTTGTCATTACTCGTGTATATTGCATCTCATACACAAAAAAGTCCCCTTCTTCTGTGTTTCCTACAAACATTAAACCTCTTGTCAATACCAGAATGCCACTGGACATGCCTTGTAGAAGTCTGCATATTTAAATCACCAAAGATTGTCCCCCTAGTTTGGCTTAATTGAACTCACAAACCTGGTAGTGTCCACCATTGAAGATGTGTGTTGGTGTGAAAGCCTGGTAAATGTAAGAGCCTCTGTTCAATTGTAAAAGGAAGCACAAACTCACTGTTGTTCTTTCCTGCCACACAAGTCATTCTCAGCAATGAACCTAGAACAGCACGACAGACGGGCCCCTTTAGAGAAGCAGATGCCCTCAATAACCCCTTATCTTCTCCCAGTATCATTCACCTATTGCTGTGTAGGCAAATCCCAACTTCCCTTTATTAGCAAAGGCTTAGATTGAGCATCTAGTCAAATGCAGTGTTCTTGGGCTCTGCTTTTTTAATGCAAAGTGTTCGTGTGAGTGTAGCAGGAAGCAGCAAATGAAATCCCGGACAAGGGACACTGATAAGGGCTGTGTTACCTGGCCACAGAGATAAAACATTAAGCTCTCAGTTGTCTCTGTTCTCGGCTGGAGCTGAAAGATACTTTATTTATGCAGGGTTTGACCCCTAACCTTTGTTTGGAGCTAACTAGGTCATTTCCAACCGTGCGCAGAATACATCCTGGGGCTTGCACCTGCACGAACATGTTCTCTTCCTCAACATGTGATATTTTAGCTGTAGATTCTGTCTGTGTCATTTTTTTTGGATCATTTTTTAAAAAATTGAAGAGGAGAGAGCCATTTGGTGTGTGTGTGTGTGTGTGTGTGTGTGTGTGTGTGTGTGTGTGTGTGTGTGTGTGTGTGTGTGTGTGTGTTTTTTATGAGCGCCAAAGAGACCCAGGTTTTGTGGCTTTGTCTTATAGATTTATAGATGTTTTGTCTTTTTGCAGTCCTCCCTTTGAGTTGCACTTCACTGAGACATTACTAGACCTAACCTCCACGTTCCGACATCAGCTCTTAACACCCTGTCTGGAGTCTGTAGTTACGTGTAGTTGTGTGACTAATAACAGGGTCTACCTGGAAGCAATTTGACGTTGGACTCTCAGCACTACCACGAAATTTGTCTGCACTCCTTGAGTCACGGACACTTTTCAGTAACAATTTATCCGCGGTAAAGCATATTCAGTACGGTGTTGTGACATTAGTCACGTTCCTCGCTCAATAAACAAACACACACACACACACACACACACACGATCATCCCAGCACAGTTCTAGAGACTACACCCTGCTTTCCTGTATAATTTCACCTAGCTGATTTTGGATTATGCAAGCAGTAGCTTTGCAAACGTAATCAGAAATAGTCTCTACTTTGGTCTGCTCACAGTGTCTGGTATCAGTGGTCTGTCTCAGCTTTAGTCTGGCTTGCCTACATCATCAGGTAGGCCATAGATCTGTGATAATAACAGTAATGTAGTGTTAGCTCTGCAAGAACTAGCAAAATGGTAGGCTGTTACTGTCCTTGTTTTTGAAAGTAATGTATGGAGAGAGATCAAGCTTTGCCTGTTAGAGCTGCTTTCTAGTTTCTCGGAAAGTTGGAAGAAGGTGTGATCTCACCACGGCGTCCACTGCTAGTTACACATGTGCTTCGTACAACTGTTAGCATGCCAGGCTGCCAAGTGGAAATTCTTGTCCAGTAAGTCGATGACCACAGGCCTGCCAAAGCTCGGCCTCCGGGCTCCATAACCCAGGAAAGGGCTAAAGGGCCTGGTAATCCCCCTTCTGTCAGCCTCTGGGCTGTTTTAGAGATGGCGCAACTGAGTGCAGGGCTTGCACTATGCCAAGAGGTTGACTGCATTCATGATAAAATTCACCCTGTTTGACATTTAGCCTGCAAACAGAAAGGGAAGAATAGTACTGTGCTAGACCACAGTTGATAAAGTCTTCATAAATATGCCCCTTTTAATCATCCCTGCTGTATAGTGAAGACAAATGGTCAGCTCAGTGGGGTGCTTGGAGCGTAATGGGGTTGGGAGGGAGTGGGGGAGTGAAGAGTTGGGGTGGCAGAGGGGAGGAAGGAGAGCTGGAAGGAGTGTTGGCAGAAGTGGAGTGGAGTTTGGTATCCAGCTGCTGTGCTAGCAAGGCCGCAGGTGTCGGGTCAGCCGAGGTGATTAGCGCAATGTGATTAGCAACAATGAAATGTGACTGAGCCCTTTTGCCCAGAGTTCAGTGTAGTCTGCAGTTTATTTCAGTGTTAGGTGGCAGTACTTCGATAGACTACTGTACATGTTTTAGTTTCCGTAGGATTTATCGGCCCATGCCAAAACACGTTTTCATCCCACTCTGATTTTTTGTTTTTTTTTCTTTTTCAACCACATCAGCATTGCTTTTTTTTTCGTCAGCACCTAATCCCAAAGAATGTATTTGGATTTGGAGTGTGGGGGGTTAGGGCACTGTAATGTGGTAAAGGAATGATTTTTAGCCCTGCTTACCCACCCTCCCTTTATTTCAGCACAAAACCTAATGCTTATTATCGCTGCCTGGTATTTGTCTGGGTTTTTTTGTCCTCCCTCAAATTTTCAGAGGGGTTTTTTAGTGGCGTGTGCGAGTGTGTGTGCACATGCGTGCGTGTGTGGTTTTTGTTTTTCTGTTGAGACTTGTTCCACATGAGTGGAAGGATGTGAAAATTTGAATTCCAGGCACATGTTATAGTAAAAAGGTGGCTTAAGTTAGTTCACAGAAAAAGACCTAAAGGCCTGTGTGTGTCCGCTAATTCAGGATGTCAGTTGCCTTCTAATTAAGTTTCTGACCTGAACCCACTGGACTTAATTTTAGTGTACATGATTATTTTTTCTCTGTAAACTCTTACACCTTTGCCTGATTATTTTCTCTAGGAATTGGGAAGGTGAAGAGCAGGAAGGGGGGAGTGAGAGACACAGCCTCCAACGCAGACACAGACATGTGTACAGATAACGGCGAGCGGCTGTATGACCTCAACCTGCCTGCCCTGGTCAAGTTCAGCTATTCAGCAGAGCGTGAGGACGAGCTGTCTCTGGTGAAAGGCACGCGGGTGGTGGTGATGGAAAAGTGCAGCGACGGCTGGTGGCGTGGCAGCTACAACGGACGCTCTGGCTGGTTTCCGTCCAACTACGTGACGGAGGACATGGATGGGACGGCGGGGGGAGTTGGTATGGGCGGGCTCGGAGACCCACCCGGATCGCTAACGGAGAAGCTGGCGGCCGTGATGAACAGCACCACGAACGGGAACCGAGTGCTGCACACGGTTCAGGCGCTGTACCCTTTCGGCTCGGGCAACGACGAGGAGCTAAACTTTGAGAAAGGCGAGGTGATGGAGGTCGTGGAGAAGCCCGAGAACGACCCGGAGTGGTGGAAGTGTCGCAAAGCGGACGGACAGCTGGGCTTGGTGCCTAAAAACTACGTCACTGTGCTGGACTCCACCTCCCATAAACCCACAGCAGGGCCTGCTGGGCCACCCACGCCTGACTGTGACTACATCTCACCCTCAGGCAGCGGGCGGTTCGCGGGGAAGGAGTGGTACTACGGCAAGGTGACACGCCACCAGGCGGAGGTGGCCCTCAACCAGAGAGGCATAGAGGGAGACTTCCTCATCCGAGACAGCGAGTCATCGGTCAGTAGCCTACACCTGCTTGCCAGACTGTCTTTGATTAGTTGTACATGGTCACACTGCGTGGGCTGTTTTTAAGACGAGAGTTAAAGATTATGTTATTAAAAGATTTGCTGCTACGAGCCAATCAGAATACTACATGAGATGTAATTTTGTGAGCAGGCATGAAGTGTCAGCGCTATAGCCGAAGCTTCATTTTTTTGCATTTAAAAGATAAGTGGAACACCGATAGTAAAATGATGCATTTCCCTTTTTCTTTCTACAGCCAAACGACTTCTCCATCTCCCTGAAGGCGCAGAGCAAGAACAAGCATTTCAAAGTGCAGCTGAAGGAAAACCTTTACTGCATTGGACAGCGCAAGTTCAACTCTATGGAAGAGCTTGTTGAACACTACAAAAAGGCCCCCATCTTCACCAGTGAGCAGGGAGACAAACTGTACCTGATCAAGGCCCTGGCCGCCTCCTGATCCCTCTCTGTCACACACACACACACACACACACACACACACACACACACACACACACCTCCACACAAACACACACACGCACCTGTACATCGTTAACTGCATCCATATATATAAGTATACATACAGATACTTAATGCCAGAACACACACTAACATTTAAACTCCCAGCCTGAGGACTTAACACATCATCAGGACTTAAATGCCCGATTTGTGAGCATTCCAAGAGGAGGTATGGAAAAAGCATGGGAGAGACACGGAGGAATGGAAAGTGGGAGACAAAAAGACTATGGACTCCTGAGAGTTGACTACAGACCTCTTGGTCGCCTATTTTAAATTATCCAGATGTGTTAGGTCATAGGCAATGCCATGTATTTCCACCTTGATATCTATTAGAGTTGCATTTAGTTTCTTTTTTTTTTTTTTTTTTTTTTTTTTTGTCGATAATATATAATCCTTTTAACAGTTTCTTTTTAAAATGTGATGATTTTTAACTGTGTCCAATACACAACAACCACCCGTATGAGGCATTTTTCAGATATTAGCAAATTCAGAGTCTTGCCTATAGGTCTACATTGCAACTCATATTTGTGTTGTCTGTCTTAATTCGTTCTTTAAGGTTGTGGACTCACTAATCCACAACTTCTGCTAACTGCTAATCAAGAATAAAAATTAAGTGACCAAAATATATTTATTGATACAATTCTGTTAGGATCATGGTTGTAGAGATCGGAATATCACACACGCATTTGTCTTTCCTCTTCTTCTTGTGCAAGGTCAAACTAGTTGTTCAACTTTTTGTTTTGTACAACGGAACTGCTTGTCTCACATATTGCTGTATCCATATCATGTGAATGTTACAAAGCCGAGGCATCGCAGACTGGGGGGCCGAGATCCCTTGACTTTGCATGCATGCACGCAAACAGAATAGCGTCCTCACACCTTTTCACTGTATCTCCCCAAAAGCGAGGTTGACAGTCTGCATGAGTGATTGGGGCGGGGGGCGGGAGTTTCATCCATGTGTCTAGAGTTCATGTGAAGAGTCAAAAAGTATTTTCGCCTCCTAGTCTGGAGACATCCCCAGTGCAGAGCGGAACCCCTCCCCTCCCCTCCCCTGCTGGAGTGTGACTGACAGCTGATGTGTCCTCCCAGTTTTGCCAAAGGGGACGTTTCTCTGGGGATGATGAGGAAGGAGGGCGGTGGGGTTAGGGATGGGGTCCGGGGGGGGGGGTTGTACGCTGACAGCAGTGCGGCTTAGTTCTGTGGAGCTGGGAGGGGAAAACGGAGGAACAGTCCAGAGGATGATGTCACTGCTCCTGAATTAGTGATCACTGGAGGGAATGGCGGATTCAAGGGTCAACCAGGGGTCATGTTTGTGAGGCTGCAGCGCATATACATCAAGGATTTTCAAGAAAACGGTTCCTTACAGCTAAGTTCTGGTAAAGGAATGGTGACATTTCCTAGGCCAATGTTTGGGGAATCCAGCTTGTTGTTTCCAAATGTATGGTCAGTGTCAAGTTAGAATACAGTGCACCTAGCACATGGTTTATATTTACAGTACAGGCCTCTCTAGTGAATGGGTATTTGTTGAGTGAAAATGGACCAAGTAGTTTGAATGTTTAAAGGGCAGCTAGCGCCAGCGCCTGCAATCAAAGCTGCAGCAGCGCTGGCACGGGGCCGCTCCAGCAGTGGGCTCAGGGAGATGATGATGATCACGATGCTTGCGATGATGAGTTCTCCAGCTGTGGCCAGTTGGACCCGAGCGCAGAGAGAGAGAGGGAGAGAGAGGGAGGGAGAGGGATTTCATAGAGGAGGAATGGAAAAATGGACCCTAAAAAACAAAAAAGTAAGGATCCAGGGAGGAGATTTGAGAATCTGTTCCACTGAATAAGAGTATCTGGATTACCGCTCCCAGCCATACACGGGTGGGGAAATGAACGGTGGCCAACGCTGATGTATCATAGCAGAGAATAAAAGAATTTTTGGATGGCAGTATTTTGGGAGGGCTTTTCGGGTCGAGTCAATCCAAGCATGAAAAAGTCAGTTATGCCACAAAGAGCATAAGACATGGGTGTGAACTTTTCCTCTCCATTCCCCAGGTGATTGACAGAGCTATTCATACAAGAGCCGTGTGGCAACTTGAGTGTGTTTTCTCTCTGGTTTGGAGCTGTAAACGATTAATTATAAACAGTGAAAAGATTAGCTTTCCATTCAAAATGGCACGTTCTTAATTATACACCTACAGCGGCATTTGAGATCTTAATTTAAGCGGGATTAAATTTTATTAAACAGTACAAAAACATTCCAAGATTAAAAAGCTCCAGTCAGTTGTTGGATACCTACAGATTTAATGACTACATGGTTCAAAATGTAAATCACAGGAATGTTTATCAGCATGGCTTGAGTGATTTAAAAAAAAAAAAAAATTTTTGGTCCCAAGCTTTATGTTAAAGTAACCTGTATCCATTATTTCAAGTCATGTAGGACATTTGTGCCTGTATTCCCTTCATTTTCAGTTATCCCCCCTTTTTGGTTTCTGTGTTATCAGTCCCCGGATAAGTATTTGGCTTACAGGAATCCTGTCATTTATTGCACCCGATCCCTGGCTGTTGTATCCGTGCCATTTTTGTCTGACACTTTATGTGAGATAGTGTTTGCCTACAGTAGTAATCAACTGCTATCAGCAACCCACTTAGTTTTTTTTTTGTTTTTTTTTTTTGTGAAATTTCCTCCCCGGCTTCCAGTTCTACAGCATCTGCGATATTGCGCAGCGTTAAAGTGACAAACGCCAACGTAACGTGCCCCAGTTTGAAGGATTTAGGAGGAGATTTTAATGTGCCTTCACAGCTTTCTGTCAACCAAAGGTTTAGTGTCCCTTTTTTTTGTTTATTTTTAGGTCTTTATCTTGTTCTTCCCACTTCTCTTGTCACTGCTGTGTAATATGTGGTTAAAGCTTTGCATGTGCGTCAGTCTGGTCAGTAAGCAAAGTCTGAAAACACCCTTGCATAGAAAGGGTATTTCCTCATTGTGGGGTGACTTTGTTGGTTGAAAGTGTCTAACTTTTTTTTTTTTTTTTTTTCGTCATGCATAAAATGCCCGTTAGGTGATCTTGTGTGTAGTTTCAAGTGACCTTACCTTTGCTGATTTCATCAAGTATAACTTCTTTATTGAACAGTGAATGCCTACATGTACAGTATAAGATATGTGCTGATGTTCATTCAGAAACATAACCCCAGGTGTGATGTAATCATGACCTGAATCTCATGTATGAGCACCTCAAGTAACGGTATCACATATTGTTGGTTGTGAAGAAACTGTCATGGTTTCCAAGGAAATAGTTTTTTATGTCTGTATGCATTTCATATAAGACTAGTGTAAAGACATTCACTTTTGCAGTTTAGCCACTTAAATATGTAAAAAAAAAAAAATCCTCAATACTTAAATGTTTTACTTGATATTCAAATACAGAACTACAGTATCTCCCTACATAGATATTGTTATGAACTGGGATCTTTTTTTTCATTTGACACCAACAGAGGCCGCATGAGCAGAGCCTTGTAGCTGTACAGAAATGATTTTAAACCTGCTTAAAAAGACATTGAAGTCAGTTGTGACAGATATTATCAAGAGATTGTTCATCAAACTATTTTTTTTCCTGATCGAAAACTACAATGCAGCTGGAACTCTTCGCTTCTTGACTGCTCAACAAGCCTGAGATAATCTTGAATTTTTAAGATTGATTTCTTGATAATATTGCAAGCAAATGACCCCCGTGTTAAACTTTGGTGCTTTTGTGCTGCTTACATTTCTATGGTGTTCCTTGTCTCACAAAGCTTTTTTTCTGTATGAGAGAGAGAGAGAGAGAGAGAGAGAGTGAAGAAAACAGATACATGCTGTGGAATGATGAAAAGGCAGTGCTGTGAAATTTATTGTCATGCTCTTAATACTGTTTTTATGGAGGGGAGATCGTCTTCAGGTGTAATAATTTAGAAGAGTTTATTAGAGTGTTCAAAAGACGTAATAAACGATACAAAAAGTAATGTCTGTTGTATTCATCTGCCATATAATTGGAGTACTGTCAGTCAATAAGTTGTTAAATGTTACTAGTTTCACTTTCACTCTTTCCTGAAGCTGTATTTTACTGAATTATGAAATACACCAATTGATTTTTATAGACTAGGCCTACAATTTGAAGTCCTAACTTTATAAAACGCTCTTCTTTTTTCTTCCCTGTGCTTTAACTTTGCTATAATGTGATTACAATGCAGCTTTAACTTAAATATTAACATTATCTGATAGGAAGATGATGATTCATGACCACAATGGGAGTTTTGTATGATGCACTTGTGCCACCTGGTGGCCATTTGTACCATTACATTGACTGGCACCACTCAGGCCTATCTCAAATGAGACCAACAAAACACGATCACATTTTGGTCACTTTATTTGAAATCGTTCTTTGAAAAATGATACTGTGATTGTAATATTTTCAAAATAAATGCTCTATTCATTGACATGATTCTATATACAAAATACTTTTCCACCAAAGAGAGGATGGGGGGGGGGGTTTGTTCAAGCATACCCATTAATCACATCAATCAACCTCACTGTCGAAGTAGCATGCAGGATCTCATGGCGCAAGTGAGACAAAGTGGGCTTGTGTTAGTCGTTACGTAACTCCGGGACGAGTCGAGCCAAATCTCACCACGGTCTTACAGTAGCTGACCTTGGTTTGTTCCGGCATCAGCCACAGCAGAACAGCAGGAGCCTTCTCTTGAGCTGTACCAACTTTGGTCCTCATACCAGTGGGGGCTCCAGAAGATTCTCATAAGGCAAAACATTACAAGTACCAGCAAAAAAAAAAGATATAAGAGGACAAACAATCTTTTTTTGTTGTTGTTTTTTTTAAAGAGATATATCGATGCAGTATTTATAGCTACGAGTATGTCATAGCTCTGCTGATATCCAACACAAAGTAGTTACTACTTATCACGGAAGGTTTTTTTGTCAGACATACAAAAAGCAAAGTACTCACAGTTTAAAAAAACAAAAACGTTACATTTTAAGGCTTGATCAGTGAATGATTGCAAGTGCTGAGGAATACATAGCAGAGACCCCTCCTCAGGGTAAGTTTGTAGATCTGCGTAGTGCTACATAGTTGAAGAATATGCTGCTATCTGTGATCTAAGGGAGGGGGGGTCGAAACGAAGGGAGCTAAAACAGGAACACCTTCTCTTCTAGAAATAGAGGAAGTCGGATATGACGCCGGGCAGATGGGTCATCAGCTGCACTCTGATCCACCAGTGCGGCTCCATGGGGTTGTATCGCGTGTAAGGACGCTTGGACATGATGGCGTCAGTGATGTCATCCAGAACAGGGGCCACCTCCTTCTGCCCGCTGTTGCAATAAGAGCGCATCAGAGCCATTTGTTGCTCAAAGTGGGCCTTCCCGTAATCCTCCTTCACATGCGAGGGGGCCTCGTTCCACAGCTTATTGGCCGTGCTGGCCACAATGTCACGGGTCAGAATGCCGGTGGCCACGATGAAGTTCCCCGGTTCAATTATGGACACTTTTACTCCCCAGGCCTTCATCTCATAGCGAAGGCAATCAGAAAAAGCTTCCACGCCGTATTTTGATACACAGTAAGGCGACCGCAACATATTTCCCATCCTCCCGTACATGCTGGCCAGGTTCACAACGCGGCCTACAGAGATATAGGCAACAGAAACGTAGTCAGGCTTTTATACTCTCCTGCGAAAAGAAATCTCAGGATATTTCTCTTGAAAACCAATGACAATTTAATGCAGCACCACCAGTACTAAAACAATGCAAGACTCAGACTCAAAGCCTGTTAAGCCTCCAGTTACAAAGTTTGACTGTCTTAAAAGGACCAGTGTGTAGGATTTAGTGGCATCTGGCAACTAACTGAACACCACTGCTGTCTGTATTTGACAACCTGAGAATGACATCATCCTGTAAAGTGTGTGTGAGGAACTGCAGTGGCCACGAAACTTGAGAAAAACAACACTAAAGGCCCTATGTACTGCCAGTGTTTGGTTTGTCCGCTCTGGGCTACTGTAGAAACATGGCAGCTCTAAAGATAGAAACAGCTCATTCTAAGGTAACAAAAGTGCAACGATTCCTATTTACAGGGGATTATACAGTAATGAAAACATACCTATGAATATTATATCCCATTTCTGCCAATAGATCCTCCTAAATGTTACACACTGGACCTTTAGAGAAAACAAGAACGTGGCCAGGGAGCTGTTACGTAAGCGAGTAATTTAGCTACATTTTTAATAAGTCGCTCATTTACAGCGTTTTAAAAGCAGTGCACCAAACTGCTGCTCTGTTGGCTGCTAGTCTAGTTTTATATTTGCTTTTTGCTCCACTTTAAAACATTATCTATCAAGCTGTTATTTCACCTAAGCACACCACTACTTTTGTATTTTCTTTTAAATGTCAGCTAAAAACACACCTGTTTAAACAGGCTTTAAGGTGACCAGCATGACTTCATAACTCTTTTTATTTACCATTTTTAAGTGTTTTACTTTTCATGGTATTTCATTATTATCTCTTGTATTTCTTGTTTAAGCACTTGTTCGGAAAAAGTGCAGTATTAAAGGTTTTTACTTCACATTATGGAGAATAAATGTGTCTTTCAATTTCAGGCTTCTTTTCATTGTGAGCATTCCTCATAAAATCATGGGATACACCTCGCTGGCCGTTTCCTTTCAAATAGGAATTCAAAGAATGCTTATAATCTTAAAGAAACTGGGGGGAAAAAGTAAATTCCAAGCTTGTCCCTTTAAGTGTTTTGCAGTTTGGCAGTGCCATTTTGGACAATATTTAACTTTTTCAAGTTTATATGTCACAGAGTATTAACATATAGTATACAGTGTTATTTTCCAGATGCTGACCTTTGGCCCTGCGGATCAATGGCAGAACAGCTTTGGTGACCCTGATAGTGCCCCACAGGTTGACCTCTGACACCTGCTTGTAGGTGTCCATGGTAGTAAACTCTACTTCTCCAAACGTTGACAAACCAGCGTTGTTCACAACAGCCCACAGACCTGATCATGACCAGTGACAGATTGTCAGAGAGGGGGGGAAAAAAGGGAATGAACACCTTCTTTACTAATATGTAGGTTAGTGGATGCAGGTGCAGGGTTCTTTACCTCTCTCTGAGTCAGCTAGGTTGTCTTTGATATACTCCACAGCCTGGTTCACCTGCTGTTCACAGCACACATCCAGCTGGACTACCTTCATGCGATCTGAATGAAATTCCTCCAGTTCCTTTGCACCCTCTCCACCTTTATCCTGCAAGGACATTAAAATGAAATGCACCCAATTTAATCTATATATCTAGCAACTACAGGACGTGGAGTTGAGTCAGCACCTGTTTGTCTTTAGAACAGTTTCAGTAGGAGCTGAATAGTCTGACTTTTGTGTGTTTGTTGTGTTGCACGAGTGGTCTCTATATATTTTATCCGCACCTTCAGAAGACATCCAGCAAACACAGTGAATCCAAGCTTGTGCAGATGCTTGGCAAGTGCATGACCAAATCCTGTGTCACAACCTGTAACAAACACAGCTTTCCCCTTCACCTGCAGAGAGGGGCAGAATATAGTAAAAGCTTTCTCCCCCCCAAGGCATATATAAAGCTACACATTTATATTTAAAGATAGAAAAAGCTTACATGCACTAATATCTATAGTTTGCATTAATATAATATTAAAGTATTGCACCAGAAAGTATTTTAAAAAATGAAAAGTGCAAATATAGCATGTCTACATATTGCAACACTTGTATAACCAATGGTATAAACGTTATCAGTTAAGTCATTAATGTACAAAACAATACCTCTAACTAATACGCGTAATGTCCTGTAGTGGCGTTAACTCCTATGCTCTTACTGTAGGGATAATGCTTTGATATTTGCACCCTCCTAAACAGCGTTACAGCATAATAAACCGTAACCTGTATTTAGTACATAACTTCATTTTCGTGTTGGAAAATTAAGCCCATACTGTAACATTACCTCCACCAGTCCTCTAGGAATTCGAGGTGTCGCAATATACAGCACAAAAAGTAAATACAGCACAACTATACACTCGGTGACACTGGTCTCCGGTAGTCCCACCATCCTCATCGCTGCGTTCAGCAGGGCAGGCAGCCCCAAACCCAACACAACCGTCAGAAACACTGAAAATGACACCAGGAGTGCCACTCGGAACAGGGAGAGCGGAGCCATCTTGGCGGAATGGTGTGTTTACTTTCCTCGGCGATCTGCATCACCCACCGCGGGGTCACGACACGCCCCCGGGATCCGATAACCAGAAAAAAAGAAATTACCCGGCTGTCCTCAAGATAACGAAAGAATGGCATGTTCGTTTTTGAGAAATAAGCGTTAGAAAGCTTGTACGGGTTCGGTTGGTGTTTGTGTAACTTTATGTCCGCTAAATCACTCCGTTATTCATTTTTTGGTCCTTCATGAACTAGAGCTTGGAACCGTTAACGTTAAGCTAACTAGCTAACGAGCTCTTAACGGTTATCCGAACTTATAACGTTCCATTGTAACGTTCTATTCTAACGTTCCATTGTAACGTTCTATTCTAACGTTCCACAAGAACTGCAATATAAGTGTGCTTAAGAAATACTGAGTTCCCAGAATTTGGAGAGACTTCATTAAAGTGCGGACTCTGTGTCAACGGGGTTGAAGCGAAACCGGACGCAGCCAGCAGTGAAACTTGTTGCGTTCTTCTTCTTGGGTTTGAAGACGTTTCGCAACCTCCGTCAGCTGTGTGAGGCATGGTCCAATGGGAAAATTAACTAAAATAAGGTAGTGAACTCGGTACTTTAGGTTTTTCCAAATAATGCGTGGCATTATATTATTGGATTACAGTTATTGATATATTAATGTGCTGGTAAAGTAGTAACCCATGTAATAATTGTGTGATAATGTTATTGTAGTGCTGGGTAACTTGTGAGTTTCAATACCCTTATCCTATAAATCATAATTTGATTATATTTTGTATTATTGATCTGAATCTTACACACATATAAGTGATCATACTCCAGCAGTAGCTCACAGATGTTGAAGCAAAAACACCTGGGCAAATCCAAAACTTTTAATGTTTTTAATAGTTCCAGATTTTGTGGTACAGCCAACATCCTGGTCAAGTAAAACACAAGAAAGTTAAAAACCTAATCACCTACAGAGCTGATAGTCAAGAACAGATGGGATTATTGCAATAGAGGGAGCAAGACATTAAGGCACTAAGAGTCTAGTGTATATGTATGGCTAAACGGCCACACTATGGCCTTTAGAAGTGCTGTAAACATGTTGTATACCAATGTTAAACAGAGGCTGTTTCAATTCAAAAGCAAGAGAGAACAACCTGAGAAAATAAAATATTAATGCTTAGACTGCTAGATGCACAGTAGAAAAATAAGTAAGGAAAGGAAAAATGAAGAATGTTTGCGTAAGTGACTGCCAATTTTAGACACTCCGGTACAAGAGGCTTGCCATCCTTTTTTTTTTTTTTTTTACAAAAAGAGCACAGACATGAAAAAAATAAAATAAAATCATATTGCAAAAAGTTTTAATGCACTTCCAAAAAAAAAAAAAAGGGAACTAATGTTATACAATATTTCCTGATTTTCTTCAGTGTAGCAGAACAGATACCTGTGGCAGAGTAAACTGAATGCCAAATGACAGTCTTGCATAGACAGTCAAAGCCGTTCATAGTATTTTACTTTTTATTTCCCATTTAAACGGCGTTGTCTTTGGAGTACTGATGGGGTAGTGCTGGAGGAGGGAGGGACTCAACTCTAGTTGAGTAACAGGTAGGAAGGAAAAATGCAACCTGTTTTACAGTATTTTCTCGAGAGACATGGTGATATTTGATAAACTGCAAGTGCTCTTTTGATATCCTGCTTCATTACTTCTTTATTTGAGAAAACTATCAAGCTTTCTCTTGATATTGTCAAATGAGTCCATTCCCATGTAGTCCGCCTGACCTTGCTCCCATTTCTGCTTCCGTTCTTCTGAGGACATCTCGGGTTCAAGTGCTTGTGCGTGTGAAGAGAGGATCGCACCCTGAGCAAAAATATAAAATAAAAAAAGAGACATAATAATGAAACAAAAAGCAGGAAAACGCAAAACGAAATCAATGATGAGACACAGACAACACCCTTAACGCTCATTGCTCTTTTAAGAAGCAGTGAACACGCTACATGTGGCCTTTCAAAATTAATGGCCACAGGCAAACAAGGCGAAAGCTCAGATTTTAGAGGAAGAGTAGTAATAGCATTAAACCAGCTCTGATTTTAGAGGAAGAGCAGTAATAGCATTAAACCAGCTCTGATTTTAGAGGAATAGCAGTAATAGCATTAAAACTAGATGCCAACACTCTGTTATTGAAAAACACAATACCAATTCAACACCATACCTGTTCACTTTCAAAAGTGACCGTGTCACTGTACTGGGACTTTGAGTTGAATAGGAAGACAGAAAGAGGTATATTATCCTGACTCAGAGCAAAATAAAATAAAAAGCAGAAAGGTAAGAATAAAATAAATTAGAAAAGGTGGAAAAAAAGCAACTTGTTTGTGGCAGCAAAATACATGTGCTAACATAGATATATATAGATATATATAGATATATATATATATATATATATATATATATATGCATTAACAATGCAAGTACGGCAATCGACAAATGCCTTTATTTCTAATAGAGCTGTACAACCAAGAAACCTTGGTCAGTATGTATAATGTTGGTTATGTCTTTACACTTTGGAAACCCAGAGTTTCCGCTGACTCGGATACTTGACCATGAATTTGACAACATATCAAGGCACTGACGTAATTGTCTATTATCTGTTAGAATAGACTGCTATGCCAAATTACTTGCAGTGTAAATGCAGGACTGGTTGTCCAATAAAGCAAAACATTCACCTCCACACATCCAGAGTGGAAAGGCTGGTCTCCATATTGCTCCTGCAGCATGGGCACCACAGCGCTGGAGTACAGGATCCACCAGTCCAGGAGGAAGGTGGGGTGTGTGGTGGCCTCCTGCACACTCCCAACGATCTGTTTAGCAATGGGGTCGAATGTGTAACTCCATGGCTTGGTCTTCCCAAGGAAATGGACCACCTTAGCATTGCCACCGTATCTGAAATGCATAAGTAAATGAGAATTAAAACACTTTTAATTGTAGATTTATTATGGTTAGATTTAGTAAGTCAAGTTCTTATGAATTATTATTATTATTATTATTATTATGATGATGCGTGACTTTTGTTCAGAAAACAACTATGAGCTAATGCTAGATGTTAAACTACTGTTTAGCTATTTTTTTAGTATCTAGCTAAAGTGCTAAGCTATGGTAACTGCTGGGTGTCCATTCATTCCTGGTAAAGGATACCTACTAAGTAGTTCCAGTAAAACCAACTGTTGTAAATTAAGTACGTGGCATATCGTTTGTCCATGGAAATCTTTACAATACAGCTGGATAGATCTTGTTATACTGTCAGATTTTATTTACTGTTTCAACCATGCTATATAACTATATGTTATTGCCTCAAAGGCCGTATTCAAGTATTACAGTTCCTTCCTTTCCGTTTTTACATAGAAATATCGGAAAATATAATCAAGGTTAAAAAATGCTATGGCGTTAGCCTGCTTGTATTAGACTACATTATATTAAATAGTAAGCATTGCGAACCTTGCTAAAACTGCATTTGTACACAAATAAATATCTGGCCCTGGGGGAGGGGGGTTGTTTTGTTGCGTTTGCCAGACCTCTTAAGCACTACTATTGCTGATATCTACCATCAAGTAAATACATGTTTATCCCGTCATCCTGATTTGGATGCCAGGAAATACCAAACTTAAGAACTTGATGAGGTTTGTTTCTATGAGGCAAGAGGTTTACGCACGGAGAGGCAGTGAGGATGGGAGGGGGCTTAAGACCGAGTGCACAATGACCAGTCCTAGAGACGAACATAAAAAGGTCTTTAAATAAACCGCTCTATTTTAGGATTTGGTTTCAGCTGTTGGGAGCTCAGCGGTAGATATCCAACCCAGCACTGAGGCCTGCTGGGGGATGCTCCAGCAGAGCCCCTGGAATATTCTCATCTCACTCGTAACCTGAGGTCATGTCACGATGTGACTACACGTTCATGTGATTCAGTATCTGCTTACTCCTTGGCTCTGCATCTGATACGCAAGATTTGAGTCACATTGACAGTCTCTCTGCTGGAGTATATACAACTGTCTTGTGGAAGTTTATACGGTAGTAGTTCATCAGTAGAAACGCGCCAAAATGAGATGTTCAAAATCACTCCTCCAACTACTGTGTGAATGTTTTTCAGAAAAAATACTTAGTAGACAGACACTTACTGCTTGAATGCTGGAAGGTAAGTGTAGATGGCTATGCTGCTGAGGTTGTAGATGAAGGGGAGGTGTTTTGATATGTCAGCTGTTGCCCAAGTGCTGAAGAAGCCATTCAAGACACCTTGGTCTCCACCTGCAACAGATAGCGGGGGACAAAAATCTACATACCGGTGTATTAACAACATATTATACTTGTCAGAAAGTATCTGTACATATCTACAGTTTTAGATATGGCTGAACTGTAGAGGTTTAGACATGATCCACTCTAAGTGGTTTCACAAAGGTTTTACAGTTCTAGCTTGTGCTTCTGCTAAATCTGTTTTAAAATTCACTCTGATGGGCATTTTTAAACATTTAGAAAAAATGTGTTTTTAAGGGATTAGTCGTGTGGACATGCGGTGAGACACTGTTATGGTGGCACAACAGCCAGCTTAGCTTACGGAACACAGCTTACAACATCCTTGGCAGGTTCAGCATATGACGGGATAGCTTTTTTGAAAGAGGAAAAGCTGAGTAAGAGTGCAGTCAAATGATCTGCCCACCTGTGACAGCCAGATTAGTTAGTCTTTCCGCTTGGTCTACATTAGTCAGCAATCTGCTGATCAGTACAGACGAGCCGTAAGAGTAATGTTCCCACACATTCTGAGCACAGAGCTAGATTTCCGTCCTTTACAAATTGCTATGGTTATTTTAAATCCAACTTGCTAGAATTCATGGGGAGATCTGAGTAAATGTATCTGGGTTTTATCATATGTTATGAAGCCATGCGTGTGCACAAGGTAGATAGAGCTGAGACATGATGTACAGAATGTGTACAATGCTGTTGACACTCTACTCTCCACTGATGCAAAATATCAAAGTTCAGTATGTTGTAGAAAGGCCCAGTATATAATGGCTGGGGTCTTTTGGCTAATCCACCACAGCAGTATGGATTTATTCAACTCATATTTGACAAAGATTGATTGCCGGCTGTTTGCTCACTGACCTCCGATAGGCAGCTCAGTACAAAGTCAAAATCTGCTCGGCAACACCAGAAGCCTTACAATAGGCTGCAGTATTGTAGCCTGTTAAAAGATGGCAATGCTAGTTTGATTGCTCTATTGTGCACTTACATCCTTCATATTGTGGTCAATCAATAGAGCTAAATGAGTAGCCTCACTTGAACCACAGTCAAGGTCTGGGTGTTGAAAGACAGTGGACTTGCACATCAGACTGCACAACAAACAGTGCACCACGTTGTGTTGCATCTTCTGCACCAATGCAGTATTAAAACCTCTAAAAGAGATACTGTTGCAAAACTTGGACCGCCTATTGATTTAAATGTAGACAGGTGTAGAAGAAGTGTGGGAAAGTGAGCAAACATATTTGTATTCCATAAGGATTTAAATTATGAAATAACTTTTGAGAACAATACTATACTCATTCCCTGCCCAGACATTGCCAGACAGGCATTCAAAATGTGGGTGTGGTGGTGTCACCTGCCAGGACTGGATCTGGTAGAATGGAGTAACATTCATCTGGAGCTGTGTTTCAAGCCAACTCCAATTCACTCTTTAGTTTTGTTCGCTCTGTAACAGCTAAATTCATCAATATGTTCATCTGCCAGTCACCAACTTTGTCATGTGGTCTTGAGCAGGTAGCACACAGGTTTATCAGTATTCTCTTGCTGAGATCATCAGCTTGCTGTGCTGTACCACAAACTGAAAGACGCTAAAATATGCTGCAGACCTGAATAAAACCATTGAGTCGGATGATAATTCTCTGGGTTTGTCAGGACGAGTCACAAAGTAATTTGACCTACTGTTGAAACCGATATATTAATTTGATTACCCATCATCAATTCCAGTGGAATGTTTTCTCATTATGAATCATGTATTTTTTTAAATTAACGGATATGATTTTGCCCTGAGGTGCAACGCAATTAAATCAGGGTGAATTCAATCAAGCACAGCCTGTACACACCCACACAGCACATACCAGCCTAAAGTAAGAACAACTGTGTGTGCACCCTGGACATGTAAGAAGATCCTTAGTTTTACTGCATATTTGGTCTACTTTATAATTATATTGTCTTATGAGCAATTTGAAGCACCTTGCAACCAGTTTTAGAAAAAGAAACATAATGGGCTAAAAATAATTGAATACTTTTATCGTACCATCCAAAATGTGCCAAAAACACAAAGTACTAAAAACTGTAAAGTACCCAGAGCTAGGATCGAATGTCTGGACAGATTTGATGTTGTTACTTTGATAGACAGTTTCTGATGTGAATCATTATTTGACCAATTTTAGAATCCTGTGTTTGCAGGTTCTATAAATTCTTTCTTTCTAAAATCTATTGTATTACATGAAAATGGGGGGGGGGGATACAGGTATTGTAGCTGTAATTGAATTTAACATTTTCAAAGATCCCAGCCCTGTTCATGACTACTCAACTTGAAATAATACACGTAGACACAAGTATTTAAAATGTTTTGTCTCTCGGTGCTGGTGAATTGAATTGACATTGCCCTCTGGGTTAGCCCGTTTTAAAAAGTTTGGACTTGAGCTGCCTCAGGTCCTAGGGGCCCAACTGGAGGGCTGGACAGCCACTCGCCCTCGCTCAATTTGGCTAATTTAGAACTGGGGCATTGTCATGGCGGTGGCTTACGTAAACATAAAACTCAGGACAGTTTGGGGCACAGGGATGCATTTGATGTTAAGTGGGTCAGTTGAGCTTCAAGTATACAACCAGATCTGAATTGAGCCTTTATTAAAAACCTTTTTAAATGTGAACATCTCCTCTGTTACATCATCAAATCTGCAACTGACCAGCCAGGATAACAGAATTTTGAAGGCAAGCAAAACCATGACACAATCTCATTGACTGTTCATGCTTAATTGCGCCACCTAGAAGTCATATAGTATGTCACTGGACTGACACTGGAACAAGGTGACATGTTGGCCTTTAGTAGAACTTTCACATATAGCTCCTAAAAAGCACAAGACCATACAGTCTGTGAAACCACAGACTGGTGCAGTTTAAAATAACACACATAGCTGCTGTTTGTCCGAACCCACAACCTCCACTGGGGATTTCAAAACTTAATATGGGGCAGAGGATCTTCATTTTGAGGGGATGAGCAGAGCTCAGCAAGAATGTGCATCTAACCCTGCCAGTTTGTCTTGGCAGCAGACAACACTGGAGCCACAGATGAAGAGATAGAGCCTCTGGGTTCAACCACAGAAATTATTTTCTTGCCGTCTCCCCTCAGCTATTTTTCAATATCATCCATCACTGGCAGAGAGCTGCACGTGTACATCATGTATTCCTTACAGTAGAGTGGAACTGAAATGCTAAAGGTCGAAGCAACTTCAACCCATGCGCCAGTGCACATGAAAAGACCATCCGTGGCTATAAATAAGACAGCTTTATTCATTAGCATGCCATCAGCCATACAGATGCTGGCATCACACTGAAGTATTGGATATGAAAATAAATGAGACACTGAAAATTGCATGAATTTTAATTAACAAAGAGGAGTATTTCCTGGAAAAAAAAAATAAGACAATTATGTCTTTTGTCCGTGGTTGTGATTGTGACGGAAACATTCTTGCCAGCAAACACAGCCAGAATGAGTCGGCACTTGAAAGAATTGGCCACTATTAAGCAAACTAATTGGTTTTTCCAATGAACTCTCATTGATGGACTCTTTCACAGTATCACAAGGGAAAACAGCTTGTCATTTAATGTTAAAAAAGGTTCACTGCTACTAACAAGGACAAGCTACGGCCTGTCCGTGCCCTACTATCAGTTGCATTTGGTTTTGTTTAATCCACAACGGTTTCCTTTGTTTAGTAGCATTTTTGAGGTCACAGCACCCCAAGGACACAATGAGTTTGATTAGAGCCCGAATGGAATATAGGCAGGTGAGAGTTTAGCCTATCAGATATATCAGATATATTATGAGTGGGTAAGTTCATTCTAGACCTTGGAAATACTACTTTGACAAAATAATCGTAAAGCTTTGTCTGTGGCCACATCGCATGGTCTTCAACAATGGAGGGATCTTGGTTTTCATGGTGTTATCATCACTGAAACTAAGTTTGAAACACTGGTCTTGGGATTAAGACTGTGATATGTGGTTGAAAGCTCTGAAAAAAAGCTAGTCAGTAAAGATTTAAAAAAATAAAAAATTAGAATACAGTTATAATATATTGTATTGTCTTATAAGAAATTATAGCGAAGAAATGGCAAAGATATTTTGATGCGTTGCAGTTTGTCCACCAGGGAGCACTGACATGTTCATTTGTCAATTGTAGAATGTGTCTTTCATTACCTATTTTGGTCACAATTTATATATTTAATATACATATTTAGGTTATTTTTGGGAAAATGTTTCTATATTTTATGTGCGTCCGTCATGAAAAGTTTATCGTCTCAAGATAGAAAAAAAGATTCTTACATTAAACGATAAATAAAAAAAATTTAAAAAACGCAGTTAAAATAAAGTTTGACAGAAGCAGGACACTATCAGAGATGAGACAAAGCAGTAACTTATTAACATATGTACAATATATCAAAAATATGAAGTAATTATGTGTGAGTTATCGAGTCCCAGGTTCTGGTTTTATGTGTGTTAATTGGTGAAAGCTGTACAACACAGCACTGTACAAAAGCTTTTAGCTAGCGTATTGAAGAAAGGTATGCGAGGATCGACTGAGGTGACGTAATTGTATACTTTAGCAGGTCCAAGTGTTTAAAAGGATATTAAGTTGGCTCACCATGAATGAATGTTCTGTCATAGTAAAATGTTTACTGGATACCCTTTAAAAAGGTTCAAAAAATAAAATAAAAATGGCAATGGCTGAAGCGTTGGGATTTCAGCAGTTTCATGTAATATTCTAACTTTTCCTTAACTTGCAGTATATTAGAACAACAGCGTTCCTACAAGTACAGACCACTGATCTTTTCAGTCGCTGATTTGAGCTGTTCAGTAAACCTGATATGAAGCCAAAACGACAATTCGGTTATAGTATGCCTCACGGAGAAGAGTTGCTGAATGTCAACCGGTGCCCTGTGCAAAACAGGGCCTCTCATATTTAACCTCCACCCCACCCCAAGCGAGCCCCTGAGAATAACTCAGCAGAGCTAGACGGTCTGTGACAGGAGGGCCTTATGTCCGGGCACCAGGCTCGATAGAGCCCTTACTTAGAGCAAAAGATAAACAAGCTCCGTTTAACATCATATTACCAAGAACTCAATGTTACTCAGAGATGGTCAAAGCCTAAATGTTTGAGCATGACTGAAAAAAGATTGCCGACAAGAAAACTCAGTGGTGGTAAACCATTTTTGGTTTGGCAGACATATCAAATCCTTTCTTGTAATGTATTTGGCAACGAAATGTGGAATGTCTATTTTGAGGTGACTTTATAACACAAATACATTTTATCTAATATCAACATGTAGAAATAAGTTCAAAGGATAACTGATAATGGGTTTATTGAGTTGAAGTTTTATTTTAGAAAATATATGTATTCACTTTCTTGTCGAGAGTTAGATGAGAATATTTTTAAGACTCTTATTTAGTATATGTAAATATGAGGCTGCAGCGAGTAGATGGTTAGCTTAGCACTGGAAATACAGACTGGGCGAAAACAGCTAGCGTAGCTCATTCTTAGGTAAAAATAAAAAAATCAGCAGCCCTAAAGCTCACCAAGTAACATTTTATTATGTCTTTGCTTAATTCATACAAAAATCAGTGTGTATTTATTGGGGGTCATAATATATTCTCTAGTTTACATTATAAGAAAACTTCTAATTTCATCACAGAACGTAAGAATCAAAATGTGATCTTGACTTACCATCAAAGCTGCCGTGTTCTGTACAATACTGAAGCAGTTTGCCATAAGTCTCCATAGAAGGACGAAAAACAAACACACCAGAGTTGAAGCAGTCGGGCCAGCCAGGGTCGGGAGCAGCTGACAACTCTTCTCTGTCAAACAGCTCATCTATATTTGAAAGCACCTAGGATGCAAGAACAAACATAGACAAACATGTTTCCACACGTACAACATCTTAAATCTTTCTGGCTGATGAAAAAAAATCTCAGTTGGTCTCACCAGTGTGTCCGCATCCATGAAAACACATTTGGAGTAATGTGTGAGAGTCCAGCAGTGGAGTTTGGTGAAGGTGACGCCCAAGTCAGGCCTCTTCATCATGACCAGGTGTGCCGTGTCGCCGCTGTCCAGCACGTCCACCACCCTCACCTCGTCGAAGATTCTCTTTAGCACGGACCTAATGATTCACAATGCTCAACAATCCAGGTGGAAAACAAGACTTGACAAGAATGCTAACAGGTTTGAATGTTGTATCACTGGTTCAAGGCAAGGTTTCTTACTTGCAAGGCTCGGACACTTGTGGGCCAATGAGTGCCACCAGCTTCTTGGATGTATTGTGGTTGCGAAGGCACTTGCCCAACACCATGGCTCCCCGAGCATAGTTGTCATTGGTAGCCAACGTCACAAAAGCCTGGTCTATAGAGGAAAGAGACAACTTAAGGGTTCAGATTTAACAAAAATGATTCCACTCTCGACACCAGAGCTATGCACGCTATATGATTCAATGCAAGAGATTTGATGGTAGACTTTCCTCCCGTTTAAAGATTGTCTAACTTTGTCTACTCACAATCTTCTGAGTCTTTTTCTCTGGCTAGTACCACCAGAGTAAAAATACAATATTAAAGTGACAGTGTCTGTAGCACAGGAAGCACAGAGCAGTTGAGTTTCAGTTGAGATAACACATAATGGAAATAAATGTTGAGCCATTATTATTTGACTCTGATGCTTTAATTAGCTGCGATTTAACTATACTGTAACTGCGCTGCAAATGTCTTCACATGAAGTCACCACTTTGTTTTTTTGGACTGTTATCTGCAGGAATATGAAACATACACTAAACAAGGAAATTAGCCTAAAAACGCATTAAGAAGTGTAACTGTAATAGCTTTCCGCCTCTACATAACAGTAGAAGTATTTCTGGGTTCATCCTTTGATGTCTGAAACAAGTAAAAAGTACATCGATCCAGAAGGTTGAAGACAATGGTCATTTCAAATACTCAAAAAACATCCCTCCACCAGCACTAATGGTCTTGTCTGAATGGAAGATTTCTTACTTGTTTCAAGAATAATAAGACTTTAGTAGCTGGTACCAGATTAAATGTCTCATTAAGGTGAATTTTATTTGCAGTGCGGTGCCCACTCTATACCACCTCTAACAGCAGGGAGGAAAATCTGTCAAGTACCTGCCAAGTCATGTTTCAGAACAATGACTAGCCTGTGAGAGGACATATAAATTGAGACGATGAAGTCAGCAAGGCCGCTGGAAAGGTTGTGTGACTGTAGCATGTGGGCCAACATGAATCCCACTTGGATTGTATATTTATCCTCTTGCTGTACTACCAATAATGGGCAAGGAGAGTAAGACAGTGGGTACAGTATGTTTAAAAGGTTATTAGGCTTTCATTTTCTATCATTTGGAGCCAGTCAGTCAGAGTGTAGTACTGCCCAGCAGAGGTGCCAGGAAAAGTTGTTCTGTCTAACTGGCTGTGTCTAACAGCACCACACCTCCTTTCTCTCACACCCCCTTTTCAATTGGTACAACCAGTGCTGTAGTATTTATGCATGTAGCCTAACATGAAACAGTTCAGCCTTAGTGCATGTGAAGCACAGGCTGCACACACTCCCTTCCATTTTCCCCAGTAAGATTATACCACAAGTGGGAAGTGAGCGATAGAGAATCACGGCATACAGTAGCACAGTGTTGTGTCCAGGGACCTAAAAGGGGTCCGCTGTTAAATGTATTTAATTGAGGTGTCATTTCATTCCTTAGGAGAATATAAACTTATCATAATCAGAATATTTGGTTAACAAATGTTCTTAGACATGATCCATATGAGAAGGGTCTCTATACCAGGGGTCAACAACCTTATGCACACCATTGCCACACGGTAGCTTAACCAATGGCACACTAGCAATAAGTGGAAAAGAGAGGTGTCCTCTCATCCGCATGTCAAATCAAACCTTTTTTTCAGCCATTGGCAGTTGCACTAATGACTGTATATATGATTTTAAGTCAAATTTAGATCATTTTATAAAAGACGACAGCCTTCTTGTAGTTCTCGTTTAAAACTTACAATGTCCTGATTATGGGGGAAAATGTTTTCTTTAAAATGTTGTTGTTGCCTATAATTGATGGAATATATTTGTACAGATAAACTGGAGATTTAGAATTTGTGGTGTCATAAATTAAATTAAATGTTAATCTTAATATTAATATGGCACACCGATTGCTGACCACCTGATCTAGACATGACAAATTAAGGGGTCCACACAGTTCTAGAGGCTAACTTACACTGTCTTTTGGCTGTCATATATGGTAATCATGTTTCAGATATGGCTGACAGCTTCATGCTATGCAGTCAGCTGGTCACTATTATAGACAGCAAAACACAGATGGAGACAGAATGTACTTTTACTCTGCTCACTTCAGGAGGCTGCTACTGAACAAACATTACAACCAAAACAACAGGGAAGAAAACTTTAACACAACAACTTCACAACAATTACACTCTGACATTAAGACCCGCGAAAACGGCGAAACTTAAGACTTTTAAAACTTTACACAAAGCACGTTTTTAGCATGGATGTTGCTCCTCGGTGAAAGCGACTGCGCAATATGGCGGTAGGAAGAAATGTTCAAATGTTACATACCTGCCATGACTAAAGAAGTCGAAGCTACTTTGTAGCCTGGACTTGAGGACACGGCGGCTTCGCTTGGAGGAAAGGACTGACTAAATATAAGAGGAGGATTTATACCACAGTGCCAGCAGCCAGACGCAGCGTCACGTGACGGTCTCCACACACCCACCTGCTCCCAACATGAGCCTCCACACCCCCCCAGCAGGTCAGGGAGTTCAAATATTCCAGATTTACAAGTGTTCATTCAGTGTAGATGAAGGGGCAAGTGTGATATGTCTTTAGCTTTAAACTAGACTTTAAATCATTTTTGGACTTGTTTTGTTAAGTTTAATTGTGTTTACAACCGGTCTCAAGAGGGGGGGGGGGAGCCCCCAAACTTATTTTGAGTCAGGCATATTTTCACATACCCAAAACATCATTCTGCAGCCTTGACCTTTCAGACAACTGCTGTGAGCACCCCTGCCTGGTGTCATCTTTACCCGTGATGACAATGTGGAGAGGGTGGTGATGCTGTAATGAGGTGCTGGCATCAGGAACAAGATGTTCTGTAATATACATTTGGTGTTTTGTCACCATCTTGTGGAAGAGAGACAGTATTATCAAGAGAGGGACAAGACAAACAGAGGCAGTTGGGGAGGTCCCTGGTCCTCTTGTACTGTATTACACAACAGTGAATTATTTTAAGTGGTCTCAGTAGAGATTTTCTCAGATCAACTGGTGCTTTTGGAGATGGGTAATGCTAGAAGGAGGGGGGATCAACAGTACCTATTTATTCGTTATGTTTACATAAATCACAAGAGGTGTGTGCAGTTTGAATATACATATAAGGGAATATTCCCGTAACTGATTTTCAGACAATTATAAACACACTAGGAAGCCTAATGTAGCTAAGAGAAAACAAATCCTACAAATAATATGAAACCCTTCATTTCTTAATTTAAGTTTCTACCTTTCGCTTCAGAAATGTGCGCCAGTGCAGTTAGATTCCCTGCTGGTCTTTGGCTCCTTTATTTTCTCCACTCAGGCAGATGCTTGGCCGAGTGGAGACGCTGCCAAGGAGTACTCTGCGGTTGTCACGTACTGTGCTGCTGGACTAAAATCCTTAAAAGACTGATACCCCCACCCGCCCAACCTCCACCGCTGGAACAGTGCCAGCTCAACAAGAGGGATCACCAGGGTTCAAAGGGGCTGATACAGTAAATTAGTGGAGGCTTTTGTTGCTTGTGTGCTTTCTTGATTGAAAAGCATTTGCCTGGTTTAAGTGACTTGTTCAAGCCAACACACTGGATGGTTTGCATTGTTCAATTTCAGTGTTTCATTGTGTTTTCTTGGACAGTGAAGGTAGCAGACAAGTTTTCTGGCCTATTAGTGATGGGCTGTAAGCATTATTTTATTCACCATACATCACTGTTTTGTTGTATATTTTCATATAAATAACAAAGACTCAGTCCATCAGACACTATATTATCATATACACATAAAAAATTGATTCAGCATGTGTGGATGGATCATTGATTTTATTGTTTGCACTCATCTTGACATTCTGTCAAGCACAGCGAGGAAACATGGCGGGTGGTGCCCGTATCCATGGATACAGGCTGGAGATGGCTGAGAGATTGGAGGGGCTGGGGGCTGGTACAGAGGAGCTGAGTTGGCAGGGGTCCTGGCAGTTCCGCTCTTTAATAGAGGTTCTTCTGCACGTAGGCGGCAATGTACTTGACGGCCAGCATGGTCTCCTCGCATGTGGGCTTGATCTGAGACTCGGGCAGCAGGAAGCCATAACGACCAGTGTCACGCAACTCGAAGGTGTAGGAATACTTCACTCCCAGGTCGTAGGCCCAGTCATCAGAGCCTCCAGCAGCGGGGTCTGAGGGCAGATAAGGAGAGGGGGATTATTCAGAGTGGGATATGCTGATGACCTGGGACAGCCTGGGTGTGTTTTCATACAAATACTGCTTTTGAGGGCCAAAACAAAAAAGAATCCTTTGTTTGCTAGAAATAGCTTTCTCTCATGGTAAGTCATTACCTTTTGTTGCCTCTAGAGGACACATCACTCAAAAGAGGTTTGTGCATTGTGAACACATTGTAATGCATATTATTATGAGTGGAAATAGACCATCAAGGTTCCTCTCAATACAATATTTCCCTACGGAGAAAAATGCAGCTGCAATATTCGCTGTACTTACAGATGGTTGTAGCACCGGGTCCACTGGTGTAGCGAGTACCATACAGACTACGCAGAGCAGCAGAGGCCCCCTCAGCAACCTTCAGCTACAATACAGAGAAGAAACACAAGTCAGATGTGCAAAGGACCAAAACATTTTTTACTATTTATAGTACATACATATTCACAGCATATGAATATTCACATTCATATTCATACGCTGAATTTAGAAACTTCAGTGTTAAGAGAACATGTGTCAATTACACAGAAAAATCTCTGTAAAGTTCGTTAATATCAGCCACCATGAGCTACTGGTCATACCAGACCAAGTAAGATTTTATCAGCAGAATATCAATTGAACAACTGTGTGTTTTATAGCTTTTAAATTCAGATTTGTAAGTTTAAGAGTGAGTTATTAATTCTTTTAAAAGTTAAATAGTCTTGCTTTTTAAGTGAAAAGGCTGATAAAGGAACAATACTATACAGAACAATAATACAATGGGTAGTAAGAACAATATATATAAAATAAATATATACAGTATACATATATATATATATATATATATATATATATATATATATATATATATATATATATATATTGTTGTCATACAGCATCCACCATCCATTGCTGTACAAACAAAACATTTTTACTGATATTACAGAACACAGTAAAAAGCTTCAGTGAGTTCCAACAGGAAATGAAACCCCCAGAGAAATGCACAAGCAGGAAATGATATTTCTGGGAGGACAGATGAGTTATGACAGATCCCCGGAGTTCTTTTGTTCTGTAAAGTGTCAGAAGAGAGCTTAAATTACAAGTGAGTAATAGAGAGGCAGAGACATGTGATCTGCCTCAGTTAGTGTGAGAGCTGGAGCAAGGGTGTGAGTGTTAACTGTGCAGCCCTCGGACACCCCAGTGAGAGGTAAAAGAGCCATGAGAATGAGGCATATGAGGAGGGAGTAAATGATTTGCAGCAGCTAAGTGTGGCCTTTAGATAAGAGTCATAATGGGACTGGGTTGAATTCCTGCTTAAGCTTTTGGAAACACCTTCAAAGATAATATAATCTGTGTCTGTTATATTTATATTCATATATTCATTTATATCAGACCCTCTAGTGAATATGATTCCTGTAGGTGTAAAACAATTAGAGATGTTTTTGAGTGAATGAGTGATTTCAAAATCTGCTGTAAATATAATCCATATAGTGACACTACTTTTACCTTTGATATTTGTCTGATGATCATTATATGAAGATATAATTGATCCAAAAAAAATCAAAAATGTCTGATGCAGGTAATCTAATGTGTCGTTGCCAATGCATAGTTTCCAGCAAGGCTGTATACACAAGGCTACTGCACTATAGCGATGTATGTGACACTGCCATGATGAATAATTATATAGTGATTGTGATTTACCAAGCATTTTCGTTAATGTAGTCACTGTCCTAACTCAGCTGTATGGACAACATAAACATTTATGACAGCTGATGACTTACCAGCTCACTGTGGTGTGCAGCCAGCTCATAGGTGTAGGAGTAGGGGAAGAGCAACAGCTGGGAGTAGGAGTGGATGGTGATGTAGGACTTGATGATGGACTTGTTCCGGCGGATGAAGTCGGCAACATTCTTGGCCTCGATCTCAGACTCAGGAGTGTACCCACAGAAGGTGTCGCTGCAGGGGTTGCTGGAGGCTCCAATGGCTGCAATGAGAATTTCAGTATAGAAAACAATTAATACATACGATTTTTTTTACTTGCACCGGGGCTTTACTTAAAGGTGGGCTCAGTCATTCTGGTTGTCAAATACAGACACTTTGGGTTTTGGTAAATGGGAAACAAACTGCCACACAACACAACAGGGGGCGCTCCTCAGGTCATCAAATACCGTATCTGACGACCTGGGAATGAGACTTAACAATTCTCTAGAATGACTGACCCCACCTTTAAAGGTACACTTCACAGATTGTACACATGAAGTTCAATTTACTTGAGAAGTACTATACAACCATATATATACCGTTACATATATAAAATGTATTATGTGGCTCTGGAGGGAGTTTTCAGAAGTCGGAGAAAAGCGTGGGAGAACAAATTTATAACAGCAAGACTGCATTACAGACTGGAAGTGTGGAGTTTGAAAGGCTTTTTTCTAGTCAAATAAAAGATGCTACCAAGTTACATTATGGGAAATGTAGGTTTTGGGGTGTGAATCACACTACGCACTAAAGGTCAAGATATCTCGGCCTCTGCTGCACAGATCTGGCTATTCTTTTTTTAATCTGTTAATCACATAAACCCTCCATCTTTACGGAAGTCCAATATAAAGTCACTGGGGTACCCCTTTAAGATCTAATCTTGTATAAGTTGCACTTACTGCACCAGCCAGCGTTGAAGTTTCTGTTGGGATCGGCTCCAATGCAGCTGGATCCAGATCTCCTGGAGCGAGTTTTCCTCCACATCCTGTTCTAAAGTCCCCAAAGTGGACAAAATAAACATGTCAGACATGAATTAAACAAATCAACGAACTCTTCAATATAAACAAGACAGCACAGTCTCTGCTACGTTAGACTAGCAGTTGTAACATACGCTCTTGTGGGTGTAGTCGTAGCCATCAATGTTGAAGACGGGCAGAACAAAGACATCCATCTGGTCGAGCAGGCTGGTCATCTGAGAGTCACTGCCGTAGGTGGACAGAGCCTGAGGAAGATTGGAAGAAAATTGTTCCTTGTAATCCTAAGAAACCTCTGTATAAATGTTGTCATGCCCATCCAGGTGTTTTCCTTACCTCCTTGACAAACCACTGGCAGAAAGCAGGAGAGATCCACTCCCTAGCATGGATACCACAATCCATGAAGATAGCGGGTTTAGTGGAGCCAGACTTCTTACCGAGCTGTGGTTGTTAAAAGTAATCACAAAACATTTGCTTGATTTAATTTTTGCCCAATGTATCCTAAATTCTTCAACACAAAGGACTGATATGGCAGATAAGTCTTGAAATACCTTAAGAACAGTCATGGGGCGTCCCTCGTAGGTGTTTCCAATCACCTGCTTGCTGATCAGACTGGGATTGGAGGAGGAAATGGAGGCGATCCAGGACTGGACCTGAAATTAAAGGGTGAACAAATAAGAACAGGAAATAACAGTCCAGTCAGGGTCGAGATTGTGACTGATGATCTTTTTTGTCTCTTACTTTGTCCCAGTTGTTGTACTTGGTGTAGCTATGGGTTCTGGGAGTGGGCTTGTTGTCAGCCTGGCCATCAACGGCAGCCTGCAGATCCTCAATAAGGACCCTGAAGAGAGAACATTTTAAAAAAGTGTTTAAACATATATGTAAGAAAAATAAGAGCTAGTGTTCAAGGTGTTTTTTAATTTCATGAGTACTGATTAAGTGAAAATCCGATGCATTTTGTAAATGATTTTGAATCTTTGTCTTGTGACCTACTCATGCTCGATGTCATTCTGCTGCAGGATGGTGTACACAATATCGAGGTAGATGGCAGGCACACGGATGTCCACATCAATGTCAATAGTCACCAGCTCAGCACTGTCGGGGCTCCAGAAGTCAACCTGCAGATGGCGCCAAAGCCAAACATTTGAGCATGTTCAAATATTCTGATATGATATCTGAATACAGCTTTTCAGCCTCTCACTTGGAAAACTGATTTGCTGAAAGAAATTCTTATTGTGAAGTAAATATGAGATGCCAAAGAGCCAGCAGATATATAGTATGCGATCTAAGCAGTCATGAAGACATTGATTGTGTATCTGAATGTACATTAAGTGAATGAAAGATCCAAATAAGTAGGTCCAGTGTATGCTTTTCCATCACTAGCAAACCCATTAAACACCTGTAGTGAGTGAGGATAGCATTATAAGGTGTGTGAAAAAGAAAAAGAAGGCAGCAAGGTACCTCGATGCTCTTAGCCAGTTCCTTAATGAGGGTTACATGCTCATCAAGCACAGGCTTCAGACGGAAGACTTTCTCTCTAGTGAAAAAAAGAGAGATCATAAAAAGATGCAGTCTAACAGCTGCAGTTTTGTGCCCAAGTGCTGGCCTTTTTCGAATGAAATGAGGGGGGTTGTTTAGTTTATTGTTCAATGTCTGCCATGGTGCCATGTAGCATTAGATGGGCAGTATCTTTAAAGAACATCCTTAAATGTAAAAAACATAATTTCCCCCAAAATCTCTTAGAGGACATACCCAATAACGCTTTTTTATTTCTGTTTTATCCATGTTAAATTCACACTTCACACAACAGTTTGTATACATAATTGCAGCTACATATAGCTATAGTGGTCAAATGGTTTTTGGGAGGACTTGTAACAGTAAGTGGTTTGAGTCATCTTACTAACAATTTACAATGAAACAGACCTGTTTTATAAACATGACAATCTCTTTAACAAATGGTTTACCAATGGCCACAGAAACTGACATACTTTCAATTAATGGGAGGCTGTTTACATTGAACCAGAATGCTAACCTATATAATACACATTTGGTTCACAAGGTATTGGCAAAAAACATCCTATAATACATAGTAAACAGGTCATGAGTCATTGTGCATGGATCCATAACTTAATGCCAAGTCATGATTAGCACCAAAAACATTTATTATAGCAATAGTGTCACAAATATAATGTGCTTTAACAAAGACTAGAGATTTACCCCTCAAAGCGAGTGACGTCAGCCAGGGCAATAGCCACCAATCCGAAAAGCAGGAGGACCCTCATGTTGGAAGTGTGGCTGATCTCACTGATCGACAGCACTTATAACCCTGACCTGCTGCCCATCCACCAATCCCCATCTGTGATGCAGCGAGATGTCATACATCCTCCCAAAAAGATCTAGTGCACCTGTTATTTTTAGGTGCTACGTGGAGGAACAGGGCCTGCGTGATGCATAGTCAATGATTAATAGATGCTAGAGGTGCTTTGAGCCAAGGTCACTTGATTTTGACTCCTAATAGTTGCTTAATTTCAGATCAGCTGTTATTTCTGGGTGGTTTTGTCACTGCTGACACATTTTCTATGACTAATCAGGATGACTTGATTTTCTTTTTAATATGAGGTAAGAAAAAAATCAATTTAGGACTGTGGATTTTTTCCATTTTATTCACATTTTTATATATTCACAAACTGTACACTTACAGAGTAGGAAAACAAATCTATGAACATGTTTAAATACCACAAAGACAACCACCACAGATACTGACAATGATCACTCTACCTGGAGTGTTCGTGTAGCACTCTTATTTATACATACATGTTACTCCCAGAATAGGCATTTCAGCATTTCAACCTTATTATCCTAACACTTATTATACATTACAAAGAGCACATCATTTGATATTATCACATATAGCATACAGGTACAAGTTATCATAGTCAAATATTGTTATTAAATGATCTACATTTTCATCACATCAATTGTGCCATATATACAGCTGCTGGCAGAGTATGCATGGGTGGCTTATATATATATATATATTTCTTTTTTTCCTTTTTTAGCTATGGCATCTTTGATAAGCACTTGATCACTGTTCCAACTGGTGAAAGACCTGCTGTGCACACAGAATGGTTATCACTGGACAATATATTACTGCACTGTATCCTGAAGTCACAATGGCAACAAAATCCTGCAGTACATGCATATGTTATATAAATAACTGGATACGATAGTCTTTTTTAGCTGGGCAATTCACCACTGATGCATTTTTTTTTAAATTGTTGTGTGACATGTGATGGATTATGAATAATAATTCTGCAGATAAGCCTTGCAAAAGGTAGCAAATTTCTCTTGGACTTACTTACAGAGAGACATGAATACAACATTTCAACCATTCTGCATGGTTCAGTGCTTGATAATACAGTGGGGGTTTTAAAAGCATGGAATGTCTGCCATCCCCGGCCCCTTAACCGCAGACCAAAAGAGCGGGGCGAGTGAACTTGTACCCTTTTTCTTTATTACTTTCCTCACTTAATTTCGGTGGAGGCCTTACTTTTGGCTGTGAGGCTCAAGGCCTCAGAGGCACGAAAAGAGAGGGCGCTCATCTTGGAGCTGATGCTCGGGTGAGGCCCTGTCGCTCCACCTGGTGAGCAACGCAAGAGACGCAGTAAGTTTTTGCGAAAGCTGCGTCCCACAAAGCCGTATACAATTGGGTTAACGCAGCTGTTGAAGTAGGCAATGCAGATGGTGAAGGGCATGGCGGTGTCAATGATTTCCAGGATGGCACAGTCCTCCACCACTGTCAGCTGGGTGTGCAACTGCATTAAGTGGAACACCTGATGGGGCACCCAGCACAAGAAGAAGGCAAGGACAGCTGCTGCAAGCATGCGCAGTACTTCGTCATCCCTGGAACGGGTGCTTTTCTGGATGTGTCTCGCCCCCACCAGTGCCTGTCCAATGAGGCAGTAACAGGTGATGATGATGACGAAGGGCACCAGGAAGCCCAGCAGGCTTTTCATGAAGCTGATGGCCAGCAGGAGCTCCTTCAATCTCATGGCATTTTCGATGTTTGGGTGCAGAATGCCACACACTGTAGTGTTAGAGTTTGTGATGTTGTGGACATCCCTGGTCAGTGCTGTGGGCACACTAAGCACAAAGGCAAAGAGCCAGATCACTACACAGGTGATGCGTGCGTACACCACAGTGCGGAACCTGCGCGATCTTACTGGGTGGACGATGGCAAGGTAACGGTCGATGCTGAGTGCTGTCAGGAAGAAGATGCTGGTGTAAAGGTTAAAAATCACCAGCCCTGCACTGGCTTTGCACAGGAATCCTCCAAAGGGCCAGTGATAGCCTGTGGCGGTGAAGGTGGCCCACATGGGTAGAGTAATAAGAAAGGTAAGGTCAGAAACAGCAAGATTGAGCACAAAGATGTTGGCCACAGTCTTGAGCTTCATGTAGCAGTAGATGACAGCCACTACCATACTGTTTCCGACAATGCCGATGACAAAGATACAGCCGTAGACGATGGGTACCAGGGTGAAGATGAATTCATGGCTTCCAGACATGCCGCATGTCAGAGCTATCCCTTCTGTCGCTCCTGCCGTTATATTCTGCATTTTCCCTTTTTAGTGCCAGTTCCTGGGACTTTTAAACAGGGGGCCCTGTCGGCGGGGTGCGTCTGTGGTGACTGATACAGGCCTTGGGCGAGGGCCTCAGCGAGTCCTATAAAAGAAACACAACAAAAATGTCACAGGCAGTCTAGGGGAAGAGCCATCATTACCGCTGGCATGGCCCATAAACGCTAATCCACACGAGCACCCATGAAAGTGCTCACCCTACACCAGCTCATTAAAGACCTGCACATTAAAGCCATCCTGACGCTTTATGTTATTTCTGTAAAATAAGAAGCCATGAAAAACAGATGTTGTATGTTATTCAATATTCCAAAAATGCCCTTTGAAACATCATTATTCAGACATTCTGCATTCTCCCTTCTCATTTAAATCGTCTCTCGGCTAATGAATGGCAACAGTAAAACTGTACAGTGTTTATCAAATGGTCCGTCCATCTGGGTGGACTGTCAGCACCCGGAAGGAGAACATTTATGCCTTGTGTTATGACCTGTGTTAATGAAGACTGCATGGCAAAGTGCGAGCTTGGGTAACAACACCATTAAACACTGAGGTACTGAGGGAGAGGGGGTGGGGGGAGAAAGAGACGGTTGAGGCTCCAGTCACTGTAAAAGACATGTCACGTTTCAAACCCTTGGTGTGCTGAGATACATTGTACCCAGCATGAGAACTTCTAATCAGCACACACCTAAACAAACAGGACAGCAGGGATTCGGCTCTGTGGAAACTTTGCTCTGTGAGAAAATCAAACCTGCGTGCTGCGGAAAATTTGCCTCAGGGCTAGTTTTTGCTTCATTTGTACAAGCAGAATGTGAAATGGGAGTAAAAAACAAATTCTCCCCTTTGTTGATAGTCTTTATGTTTAATAGAAAGGCTTAGTGAGCACCATTAGTGGAGCTGATGTAATAATATTAGCATAAGCCTGATGTATGCTATTACTATAGCTGCAAAGATAGTTTCTGCTGCTAATTACATGAAAATGACAACATGTTTGTGGCTACATCAAAATCAGTTGCCAGGGGAAAAACATGCTCTGAATTTGGAGCTCAAAAGTGGGCAAATAACATATACAGATAATGAAACAACAATATTTATGTGTTGGAATATAAGGTTGAATATTTTGTATAAAATGTAGTCTGCTGTATAAGCTGCCATAATAGAAATGGAAATACTCTGATTAGCATTTTGACTAAGCAGGTGTCTTGCCACAAGATGGCATTCTAGCTTCAAGATTTTACTCTCTTTCCATCTCACAACTGACAGTGTACAATGATATACGATAGAAAATATATTAATAAATATAGTTTCACCTCAGCTAGCCCACATATATATCTGTTCAAAAAATATTTAAAACTGCCTTTTGCTTTTGCAGAAATCCAGCTGCTGTTGCTCTTACAGCTACTGTGGACTACTTATTGAATGCACTTTAAAAAACATTCCCTATCTGCATTCCTACTGCCCTCTGGTTGGCATTAAGACAGTCTGAGCCCTTCCAGTAGAACTATTTTATCTCCAAGTCAAAGATCTCCTCATTTTCCACCAGGTTTCAGTGGATGGATTCTTTGAAAGACTCTCAGTGCACTAAAGCAACAACTGTATCGGTTGCAGATGTGGGGGGATTATTGAGTGTGGAAGATGTGTGGGTGCCAAGGGCAACAGAATAATGAAATATCTCTGCGAGTTTCCCGCACAGGCCGTGGTGCAGTAGGTAGGGTAAAGCACCAACACAGATGTCATTGCTTGGATTTACTGTACATGTGTTGTCTTTCTTTAATGATTATAACAGTGGGGGGCCGTAAATTTAAACTACGCAGAAGAGAGCAACAAAACAAGTATCGGTTTCATAGTTTAGGGATTTAAAACCGTTTACGACAATCTCTTGATGAGAAGAAGATTTCTGATGACCGCAAATGGAAATATGGGAGAAAACCGACAATACGTGCCTTTTACCACTATTGGTCCCAGTGGCATTTCAACCAGTATTTTTCCATGAGGGAGATGCTCAAGGCGAGGGGACATTTGTGGGCAGTAACTATAAACAAGGCTGAAAGTTATTGCTGCCTATATATGTAAGTGAGCCCCATAATAAAGGTGAGATGGCAGAGGCAGAAGGCGACTCGGAAGCAGGTGATTTAGTGAAGCTGTGTCCAGTGAGCTATAGCTCGGAGGGAGATGGCACATTACTGAATGACAGCCATAAACCCTGGGTGACCACAGACAGGAAGGTAAACAACCACTTCACAGGGTCCAAGAGCAAGCTGCATCCTCTCGGACACAACAATGGACTGTTTGCAAACACACAGCTGCTTACAATGAATGATAAAATCATGATTAGGAGGAAGTTTGGGGACATTTTTGCCTCACAGTGCACAGTAGCAACATTCCATTTCTAATCCTATTCTGGGGTATTTAAATGCAGCCTCTTTCTTAGGATCATGGGAATTTCCTAAAAAGTTAAACCCAGAAAAGTTCCCGGTCCTGGCTAGCCGAGTTAGACTTGGCTTGGATCGAATCGTGGTTCCCATCAACAGAGCTATCTGAGGCTGCCCCCGGCCTGAGCGCCCGGCTGCTCTGACATGAGCACCACCATCTGGCTGCCCATAGAGAGAGCCACTAAAATGTCTGGTTGATGGAGTTAATGATTTATATCAGCCCATTATGAAGTAAGGTTAATCTTACAAGCGGCACACCACCTCATTATGATCCTCTCGTTTAGGCCTCGTTTCAGGCCTGTTTGAACAGAACATTGCGACGCGTGCTTCCTGTTGTTGTACACTCACCTTTTCCTGTATCTTCTAACATGTTACAGGAATACAAATGTAATACCCAGCTACCCACCATGACCAAATGGTAGTCTTTAAACAGTATTACAGCTTAATTTCTCACCATTACTCCTTGTAGAGTAAAAATATGGGTGTCTTAAAGAGTAGCGCACCTCAACCGCAGCCTCCTTTGTCTCTGTCTCAACTTACATGGGTGTCACTTCAGCTGAAGAGCTTTTGAAGTAGGAAACTTGACCAAGAGTAAACTTACTGATGTCTAAAGGAACTCATTGAAGTATGGTGGTGCCATGCAATGAAGTTAAGTGCAATTTTTTTTGATGCACCAAATCAACACACGTCATCATTTAAAATACATGCATTTCATGCATAAATGTTCAAAAAGAGAAAGAACAGAAGGTTTTGATTAAGCGTGTGTGGGTGTGTGTCACAGAGTGACAGTGTCCATGGACTAAATGAGGACTTGACTTCTGCTTGCAGGAAAGGGGCTAATGGAAATATTGGCTTCAGAAACCATGTCTGCATTTTTCTGTTTATAAAACTGTGCTTTTATGTGACACAATTAAACAGCACAAACTACAGCCTGTAAAGCTTTGCTTCATTTCCTGTACGGTATTTTATTAAATATGCCACCGGCATCTTGTACAGTAACAAAACTAAATATATAATATTTTCAGATTATATTAAATAACACACTTTTACTGGCTCTCAGAATATCTTTTGTCTCAAAACATTCAAACCTTAGGGGGGAAAGTAAGCGCCTACAAAAGTGAAACCCCTACAAATCTCTTGGTTTAAAAGCATGATGCTGAGCAGCCTTCACTCTGATTAACCTCGGAGGGAAGCCATGACTTCTTTACTTCTCTTCCTCGACATGTTCATTCTCAAGTGTCATCACTCTATTTCTCTTTTCTTCAACAGTTTAATACCAGTCTCTCTCAAATTAAATTTCACCTGTTTTTATTCAATTACATTTCCCTGCTATTCACCATCCCCTATATCCCCAGCTTGTTTGAGGATTAGATTCTTCATAAGTGAGGATTTTTAGGGAGAGCACAGCTACTGTTTATCAGGAAGTGGATCTAATTCTCTATGGGAATATGAGACTATGTAAACTTTACTATAGACTCCATCCTTCTCTTCGTATAGTTTGCATAATGCAGTTCTGGATTCTTCCCATGCCTACCGCACAGCCACAGAGGTTGTTTGAAAGGCTCTGTACACACAGGACTTTCACCTGAACAACTTGAACAAACAGCAACAATAGGTAGCGCCAATTAAATCTGTGAATGCCTCTAACATCTTTCCATTGGCTATATTGTGTGGGTTCCCATGGTTATATCACTGATTTTCAACACAGGCCTTATGAGATAAATATTTACATAAACTGAAACCTCTTGGTGCTGCTGATGGAACAACTAAAAGCAACAGGTTAAAATGTATTAATCCAATGAGAGAGGCTATTACAGAAAGTTACATTTAAAGAGTTTAAAGACTTACAAAGACTGGCAAATGTATTTATTTTTAAAGTTGGTAAAAACATCTTCCTGAGAATGAGGTAACGTGAGCCCTTACCTGTGGTGCTGAACCAGGAGGCTGTTGATGCTTTCAGAGCAGGACAGACAGAGACATAGAGAGACCACCGCAGTGTGCCAGTGACTGCCTCTGATTTAACTTAACTGGTGGAGCGAGACGAGCAGGAATACCGTCTGACACACAAACACACTAACACACACCCCCCACCCCTACTACTCTCCACACACACACACACACACACACACACACACACACACTACAATGATGAATGAATTATATTGGAGCCAGCCAGCTACGTATTGTCCTAGCCCATCTCTTTCTGTGGCCAACAGTCTGCGCACACACAAACACACACAAGATCTTACACAACAGCACCTCTCCTCCGCCTCCTGCTCCCTTCTCTCCTCCTCCTCCTCTTTTCACCCTACATCCCAACCACCATCTCTCTTACCTCTCTCTTAATGTCTGCTTTTAATCACTCATTTTCTCCTTCGTGTGAAATTTACTGCTAATTTTGACAGGTGTGGCCGATTAAAGCGCCAAATCTGGGGCCTGTTGCACAATCTTTTGAGGGTGTTTCAATTTGACGTCACAGTTTTATTAACCAGAAACACACACACAAGCATTGACAGCACTGTGGTTAATCTTACTTTAATGTCTCGACCACTTCTCTTCCTCCACTAGCGACCATCTTTTATCATATGACAGTCCCCTGTCCCTCTACTCAGCATGAAAGGAATGGCCAGGCTCTGACTGTGATTGGACCTGTCGACACACTGTATTAATAGCTGCCACAAGTTCGCCCTTGGCTTGGATCAGGGTGTATCAGGGGCTGGGAGAGAGGGGGAACTTTGCAGGGTGTAGCTTGAGAGTTGGGTTACTGCTTTTCTTTTACTCCTTGCTGGGCTTCCTAAGAACATTTCCCGTTTTCCAGTGTCATTCAGCTGTCACTCATTTGTCAAACTTTTTTTTTTTTTTTGAAAAGCGGTGGATGTATTGTTGTGAGTGTGTGAACGTACGTGCGTGTGTGTCAGGGTGACCGAGCTGACAACTCCCCGTGGTCAAGCTGGCTTTGTTGATGCTATTTAAGTATGACTGAGCCACTAAAACTGTACTACAAAGAATAATTTCATGTGCGCTAAAGGAATTTGATTGGAATCTGAAGCCTGCACACTTTACGCTTGTGTAATCCAGCTGTATTAAGAAGGGACTCTATTTTTAGCAAACATCCATCAGACACACCTTGCCACCAAAGATATTTGTCTCTCACTATTCTTCTCTTTCTTAAGGTCTTGACAGGTGTTGAGAAGTGGGTCACATCCTCACCTCTCTGCCTCAGCCCAAAGCAGCTATTGCAACAGTTATGGAGATAGATAGTGATGAATGAGGCGGCGTGGCTGTCATCCCCTAAATCCCCTCAGTTTCAGTGTCTGCAGTGTTGACGGTAAAGAAAGCCATCACCTGGGCTAAAGACAAACAAGGAAAGAAAGGAAAAACAAACACTTTGGGCTAAGTGGAGGTCCTGTTTGGTGACTTTTGCTCGCTCATGTGTGACCCAGTCAATTGAGAATGATCGCATTTACCGAGCTTTCTATAGCTCGCTGCTTCTTAGAGGTCACACAGGGTCAAAAGGCAATAGGTACAAAGATCTAGAAAACTTTTTGAAAATATATGACATGTACCAGAGTGCTCTTCAGTCAGGGCTAGGTTGCAGAGAGGATGACAGTATGTCACTTTGTCTGAAACACAGCAACAGAGCCATTTACACCTCCAGGGGATTATGATCAGGCTCCATTATCTCTTCAATTACTGTGAATGATAAGAATCATCCATTAGGCGAATGCTATCTTGTTGCGTATCCTGTCACAGCAATGAGCACCCGTACGGTATCAAATCGCCTGCGTGGTCTTGGTCTTGCTGCCACAAGAATTATCAGCAATCTGAATCTGACCCACAAGAACCCTCAGGAAGTGAAGAGAGAGTTATGCATCAAGCTCTGAATCTGCACTGTATTTTCCTCAAAACAAATAATTCCCAGTAGGGACAGGATGTTGTTGCAAGACACTGCACTACAGCATTGATTTACACTCCTCAAGTACAAGTAGAAACAGATGTTTTTTTTAAAAATGGAGATCTGTGGGGAATATATTAGGTGGGAAATGAGATTTCCTGTGGGACTGTACCTTTTTTAGAATAGATGGGTGGTATTTATTTCAGTTAGTGGTTGGTGAATTTACAAAGTAAAACTCCATGTCCTGAAAATGAACTCCATAATTCACTCTAAAACAACACATAAATGGTCATTCCAAGATTCTTTCTAAATTTATGTTGTGCAACAATTAGGAATCTGATGTAACTACAGTAAAATCCAAGGAACATGGTAATTTATCTTCTTCAGGGTAATACATCATTTCTGGGTGAGTAAGGCCAGAGAACAGGACAAGGCCTCATCTCAAGTGCTCATACCCTGGAGGTGTGATAGTGGGCGATGTTCCTGCTAATCAAATCACTCTAACAAGATTAGCTGTGTTAGCACTTAAGCTGTAGTAGAATGAATTGATGACTGGGGTAATTACTGGTAGCCCAGAGCACTGCGGGGAACAACGGACCTTTTACACCAGAACAACACAGGCACTAAAATGCCAAACCATCACATAGCCACCTGCTGAAGAAAGACAATACCCTGTGAGGTCTGAAGACTGAGCCTGAACTGTAAACAGCTGACCAGTACTGAGTAGCCGAGTCATCTGAAACCGCTATAAATATATTTTAACATGTTTACATGTGAGTGCTACATAGTTTCCCATCAAAATCCATGTGTGAACTGTGAATTTGCATTTTTAACAAGTGACAAGAATGTTTCGTCACACGTTTCTAATCCATTTCTACTGAAAAATGCAAGTTAGAGTTTGCCAAACCAGAGTTTTCAGAACAAGACAGACCTTATTTTGTGGATTTGACTGACATGTTGTCTTAATGAGCAACAAATCTTCAAAAAACTGTCAGTCTTGTACTGGCCTATGTTTTAAATCTTGCTATGAAACTCTTTACCTCATTGTTCCCAAATGAATAGTATTCATAGACCTGTTTCACAACAGCGGATATTTTGACTTGTCGTATCAGGAACAGCACAGGTGGAACTAATAACACTACGGATGTCTATGTTCCAGTAATCACTGCAATGAAATCAGTAATGTTATTAGATACACCTGTGTTTGACAGGTCAAAATGTATGCAGCAAAAGGATTGGTTCAACTTTACCTTTTAAGGTATTGCCAGTGGTGAAGGAAATATTCAGATCCTTTACTTAAGTTAAGTGCTAATACCACACTGTGAAAATACACAATGAAAAGTTCTGTATTGAAAATGATAGGTAAAAGTATGTATAATCAGGAAAATGTACTTAAAGTATTAAAATTAAAAGTACTCAATGTCCCCTGTGACTGTTACATTACTCATACTCATACTTGTTAGTTGGTTGAGGTTTTTACTCTTTTGTATAGGACTGTAACACATTTTTAAATTCTCCATTAATCCATTGATTGATTGATTGATTGATTTGTAAAAAATAATTAAAATAGTGCAAAATGCCATTAAAGTGACACCTTCGCAATGCTTGTTCCATCCAACCAACAGCACAAAATTCCAAGTTATTAAAAATAAATTAAAGAATTAAAGATTTAAAAAAAATCAACCATCAAATGTTTCTGCTTATGAAAATAGTTCCCACTTAATTCTTTGTCAGTGGACTAATCAGTTAATCATTTAGGCAGTTGAATTTATAGCAAAGCATCAGATGTTATAGGCTCTTCATAATTTTCTGTATATTTTAATTTGTAAAGTAAAGTAAACTTAAGCTTCCAAATAATTAGAGTGGAGTAAAAAGTACAATATTTCCCTCTGAAACGCGGAGTAGAAGTAGATAGTAGCATGAAAGAACACCTTGAACGCACCCCGGTGTATGAGCAGCCTACTGTGCCCCCTATTGCTGTGGCAGTACCGTGATCATACCGATTCTGCCCCCGGAAAAAATGCCACAAACAATTACTACCAGCTACCTGTTACTCTTGCTAATGTAGCATTTCATGAGCTGACTCACCGGCATCCTATCAACGTTACCTCAGGAGATCTGCTCCATCCTGCTGCTTCTGGCCCACCAAGACAATCTAATCCTGGGTCGGCCTCGAACCTCAATGTCCGGTTCTGCTGCGACTCTGGTCCACCTTGCTGCTGCGCTACATAAAAGGTAGGAACTCTGTTTAGTCGGTGTTTCTGTGCTGTTTGATTGCTCCCTGACAGATGTGTTTGTGGCCTTTGTCTTGGCCTTTGCTGCTGCTGATGCCATCCAGCTATAGGCAGGGTTTGCATACATATTAATTGTGATTTAATTAGTTATCAATGCTTGGCTTTTGTATGTGAATTATGATGCACTCATTATTGATTTGCATAATGGTAAGACATGAATGAATACTCTTGTGTTGGCTCATGTGACAGCTGAATTGGTTTCGCATTATCATCAAGTCTTTGGTGCTGTTTTGGGATGGTTTTTTCCTGCATATCTCCCTGCAAGCTTGGTTTTCCAGGGGATGCTAATGTGTATTGTGCTTGGGATGTAACTGTTTTGCAAGCAGCCTTTGCAAGCTTTAGGTATCCCCTTGTAATGTTCCTTCTCATATGCACTTCACTTCATATGCAGAATTCAAGATAAATATTTAATCTCTATAATGTGACAGCTTGCTTTATTCTTATCTTATTTTCTCCTCATATATATTTCTTTTCTGTTTTGTGGTTGCCACTGCTGATACTCTGCTCCATTTATCACTTCCTTAATCTCACATCTGTGTCCTAATGGTGTTGTGCTGCTTATCAGAGCTGCATAACATTTCTTAAACCCTGGACTGTGTGTGCAATCCTTCTATTGATTTACAGCCAAAAAAGTGTGTAATAATATCAGTTCTGTTGAAATATAGCCAGCAATGCATGATGTCTAGTTTAGTGGACAGAGAACAATTGCTCCTTATTTCTCCTTTATTACTTGATATTACCAAATGTTATTTACCTGCAAGAGTCTCCTGTGATAGAAGGGTTGACAAGACTTCCCTAAGCTGCTCAGCATTTCTGGCCTTCCGTCAGGCATCTTGGTTTTGAGAAATGTTTGTTGCACTTACGGCATGGGTTGATGCACCAGCATCCATTTTAGTGGCTGATGTGCAACTATACCATCAAAACCTATACATATATGAGAAGACAGCTTTATATTAATATAGCTGCCCTCTGTAGCGACCAATAAGCATAAAAGGGTGAAGGCGACGTAGACTCCCACTGCTGTGGCAG